CTTTGGCTGATGTCTTTTGGGGATGGGGTGTAGTGGGCTGCTGCGAAGGGGTATAATGTGATTCCTGTGAATCAGTTGCAGCGACTTGTCAAAGGGGTGAATGTGCAGAAGGCTGTGTCGCAACATAAGCCATTTAAGATTAGTTTTGGGGCTACCATGGCGCTGGCGGCGTTTGCGCAGTTTTGATTTTACTTACTATGTTGGTGGTGAGAATGATAGATGAGGTGATTTATGGTGCTTATTGGAAAGGATCGTAATCTATATAGATACATAAGCTACTGGAGATCGGGAAACCGAGAATTACCTTGATAGATCCAAATTAGTTAACTACCTTGCCAGAGATTATATACATTGTTATACAGGGGTATCATGAACATGTATGGCGCCGTCTGAAATACCGACCATTAACTCAACACTAAGTCTTCGAGAACTCCCTCCATTTCGTCGCGCGGAAGCGGCACGCCCAGAATTTCCATGCCGCTTGGGTCCAACCTTGACGTGATCATCTGATGGTCGTGGAATTCCTTCAGCAGCGTCCGGAACATCATCTCGGAGGAAGCGATGAACTCTTCGGTAGCTTTCTGGTACAGCGAACGGAATTCAATACCGACTTCATCCTTTCCATCCCCGTCGCGTCCTGCTCCACCATCCATTTCATCATCCGAGTTATGGCCCTCGTCGAACATTGATATGATTTCGGTCAGGAGCAGGCGATACAGATTCCGTGCGTTCTCCGGAAGACTCTTCAACACGAACTCGACACCCTCTTTACCCCCAACACGACGCCCCTTGCGGCCAAGCAGGTTATGCACCTCTTCTACAACATCGAACTCGGTGTCGAACGCTGCAAATGTTGTGCAATCGTGGAAGACGAAATTGAACTGATCACGGAGACTGATGTCCCACATCAGCAAATAGTTCGGTGTATCGGCCGTTACAAGGAGGTGGATTTGGGGCGTAGCAGCGAGTCGTGCAAGGAGGACTTGGGTCGCAGCTCTGCGAAGGGGTGGTGCATCAATGGAGTTGATTAGGACGGTGATTGGCCGTTGTGATGAGCGTGATTTCAGCGCAGACTGCAACAACTCCAGCACCTCTATCGGCTGAGAACCCAATTTGGAGGGAATGTCAGCACCGAGCACGGCGGTGACAATCGTAGCGAATATTGACCGAATGGAAATGTTCGGTGTATGCCCATTGACCACCACGATGGATGGAGGGGAAGAATTATTCTTCTGATATAGCCACTCGGCGAAATTCTGCAGTAGGGGACGCTTCGAGCCGTACCCGTACAGACAAATATTATATCCTTGTTCAAACTCAAAGTTCCATTGCGGGAATGACCGATGGTGTACATCGAGTAAAAATGCCTTCTCTTCCTGACACGGGTCTGTGTACTGTGCCATCTTCTCAAAGTACTCTTCGTGTGTTAATAGGGTGACCTTATTCAGTGTATTGTTTGATGTCCGCGGAGGCCCGGCTCGATTCTGGAAAAAGTACCGCTCATGGGCCGGGAGTTCACCCTCCGGAGTGGGTGAACGCTTGTTCTTCGCACCCTTCGGTCTTCCTGCTCGGCGCTTTGGTGTTTGGGCAGTCTTGTTTGCTTCATCCTCTGCCTCGACCGTCTCGACTACACCACCCCCATTCTCTGCAGCAGTCGCATCATTGTCGTCCTGCAAAATTTCCTCCGCCAGGCGATCAGCTCCGTCCCAGTCTTCCTCGTCGTCTTGTTCGAGAAGAAGACGTGCGCTTTTCTTCTTCGCTGATCGGTCCGCGTTCCGTACTCTCGAAGGGGTGGAGACAGCAGCAGATTTGGTAGGAGTTGAAAATAAAGCTTTTGCCTTGGACTTTTGTGTAGGCGTTTTCAGCCCGGATTCTTTCAATGCTGCGGGTGTCGCCGTGCTGGGCTTCTGGGGTGTCGACTTTATCCGTTTCGACGGCGACGCTCCAGCCGGGGTTTCTCCATTCTCGTATCCATTCGTCGAACCATTAAATGCTGCCGTCCTCTGTCTCTTGGGCGTCGAGACAGGACGCTCATCGCCCGAATCCGTCTGTTTGCGCTTCATGTCAGTAGGTTCCAAACACAAAAAGGCAATTGGTAGCGGGAAAGCAAATACCATCCGGACGCGACTGGTAAGCCAGAGAAAAGCAGAGCAGCATGCAAGGGCCGAACGAAGGAGCGCTATTAGGAATGCGAATATTTAGTCCTTTATCCCTCGTGGCTTTTTCTCGGCGCGCCTGGAACGCGGTTTATTGATTGAGAACAAAGCTCAGGACCGACTATTTATCCGACTCCGCGGTATCGGAGCTGCAAGCTGAGATGGATCTCCTTCGGCCGGTGTGGATTTCGAGTACTTCCAACTTTCACCTTTGAATTGGGAATCTCTATCTCAGTTCTGATCCAAGACTCGCTGTTGGGCTTTGGCTGTGGTGTGTCTGTCCACTAGCCTAAAAGCGGACGGCATTGAGTCATTTAATCATCGACTTGTGTTTTGAGTCATTTTCCGCCCTATCAACTATAGAATCTCCCCGCAAACCATCCCCGGTTCTTTGAGCCTCTATTGTACGTACTGTGTCTGCAACACGTATCCTCCAGAATTGCATTTATACTGACCGCAGTTCACCCTCTACAGGCTCAATGGCCTCTCCAGCTCAACCCGCAGCCACAATGGCTGCTTTCGCCAGAATGGTGAAGGGCCAAGTGCGCAATTATTCCGCACCTGTGGATATGGCTATTCCTGCCTCCAAGCGGAAGTTCATTCCCTCGTCCGGATCGTACCCTAAAGGCTTCGTCGTCTCTGGTACACACGTTGGAGTCAAAGCGTCGAACACCAGGTTCCCCGATCTCGCTTTGATCTCGTCCGAAACGCCATGCTCTGCCGCAGCTGTGTTCACCACCAACAAGTTCCAGGCTGCACCGGTGCAGGTGAGCAAGGATATCCTCAAAACCCGCCAGGGTCAAGGCATCCGGTCCGTGGTGATTAACTCAGGCTGCGCCAATGCCGTCACCGGCAAAGGAGGTCTGGAAGATGCAGTGAGCATGGGCAAGAAGGTAGACGAATGCGACGGACTCAAGGAGCCCAGCACGCTCGTCATGAGTACCGGTGTCATCGGCCAACGGTATGCAATACCCTCATGGACCTCCCCGACTTTAACCAAAACCGATACTAACAAAACATACCATAGCCTCCCAATCTCGAAGATCCTCAGCAAGGTCCCAGTAGCCCACTCCAACCTCTCCTCCACGCATGACGCCTGGCTCACCACAGCCCGCGCAATCTGCACAACGGATACCTTCCCCAAGCTTCTCTCCCGCACATTCACGCTCCCCTCCTCCCCAGGCCGCACCTACAGCCTCGCCGGCATGACCAAGGGAGCCGGTATGATCCACCCGAACATGGCCACTCTCCTCGGCGTGCTGTGCACCGACGCGCCAATCGAACCCTCCGCCCTTCAGTCCCTCCTCAAGCACTCCGTCAATCGCTCGTTCAACTCTATCTCCGTCGACGGCGACACCAGCACCAACGACACAATCGCCATCCTCGCCAACGGCGCCGCAGGCGGAGCACCCATCAACTCCGCCTCGTCGGACGACTACGCCGCAATGCAGGAGATTCTGACTTCGTTCGCACAGTCGCTATCTCAGCTTGTTGTGCGCGACGGTGAAGGAGCCACTAAGTTTGTTACTGTCCGTATCCAGAACTCTCCCGACTATGAATCCGGTCGGTTGATTGCGTCTACCATTGCCCGCTCCCCGCTCGTTAAGACGGCCTTGTATGGTAAGGATGCGAACTGGGGTCGTATCCTTTGCGCTATTGGCTATACTCAGGGCGTGGCGCCGGGAACTGTCGTTCCTGAGCGCACAAGCGTTAGCTTCAAGCCTGTTGATGGTAGCCCCGTGTTGAACTTGCTGGTGAACGGTGAGCCGGAACAGGTCGATGAGGAGCGTGCTAGTGTTATTCTCCAGGAGGAGGATCTGGAGATTGTTGTTGACCTTGGCGGTGGTGAGAAGGGTGAGCAGGGTCTTGGTGGTGAGGAGGCTGTTTACTGGTTCTGTGACTTCAGCCATGAGTATGTCACTATCAATGGCGACTACAGAACTTAAGCTGGAGGGTGTGGTGCCATGGTGTATTGTATACCCATTCTAGTGTACCGACATGTATTTGCGATGCGGGATTCTAATACTATATAGTACGCACGCACTTACAATGTCTGTTTCATCTTTTGTCATAGCAAATTAGATATCATTTTAAAATCTTTTATAGAATATATGGTTACAAACCAGGTTTATGCTATATACAGCTGCAGCCTCGCTTTTCCATTCATTGCCTTTCAAGCAAAACTAGACATACACCCAAAATCCAGACGGCCACAGCAGTAGCGCATCACCCGGGAATGACCGAGAAATACAAAAGCATAGCGAACCTACAATCCTTCTTTCTCATGCTGTTCATAAAAAAAAAGTGTGAAAGTTCCTGTTTAGTTACCAGGAACAAGGCCCTTGAGGCCTGAACCAATATCGCCTTCACGAGCGGCGATTTCAAAGTATCCGTAAATGATGCTGGAACATTGTTAGCGGAAAGCAGAAGACAGTAAACAGGGGTGAAGACTTACGTCACGGCAAGAAGGATACCAGTACCGCTGCCAAGAGCGCCAAGGAGGTCGGAGGCAACGGAAAGAGCACCAATGCAAGCACCACCGAAGGCAGCAGCAGTAGGGATAACCCTCTTAAGCTCCTTGTACATGCTCTGCTCACGGTGGCCGGCCATGACAAGACCCTGGTCCTTGAGCTGCTTGGCAACGTCACGAGGGGCGGAGCCAGAGACTTCAATCCAGGTCTTGGAGAAGAGAGCGCAAGCAACCAGCATAAAGGTAATGTAAACAGCGGTGTGGATAGGGTCGAGAAGAGCCTCCTTGAAGTTGAGGGGAGGAGACATGTAGTAAGCGATTCCGGAGGAAGCGTAAAGCTGGGCGGATCCATCACGAGGCTCCCAGACTCCGAGAAGCTTGACAAGGAGGTTGTCCGAGAAGCGCGAGTACAGCATCTGGCTGATGAGGAAGATGTTGGAGCACAGAGCGGACTGAAGCATAATAGGCATGTTAGAGGTGTAGAAGAGACGAACGGGGTAAGATCCACGCATTCCACGCTGGCGAGAGGACTTGACGGGGATCTCCACACGGAAACCCTGGAGGTAGATGACAGCGGCGAAAACAAGGAGAGTAGCCAGCAGGTTCATGACGTTAGGGAGGTTCTGGCGATAGAAAGCCTCACGCAAAGCACGCTGCTTGTCGGACCAGGTCAACAGAAGATGGAACAGAGCGATGATAGCACCCTCGAACTCGGGACCACGGCCAGTGTTGATGGTAGTGGGAGAGAAAGCCTTCCAGACAATAGACTCGCAGATGTTGGTGGCAATGAACAGAGAGATACCGCTTCCAAGACCGTATCCCTTCTGGAGCAGCTCATCCAGAAGGATGACAACAAGACCAGCAACAACAAGCTGAACAATCAGCAGGACACAGATACCGGCACCAAGGTCGCTTGGCTGACCATAGAGACCAGTCAAGACATAGACACAAGCCTGACCGAAGGAAAGGATGATCGCGAAAAGCTTCTGAGCGGTCTGGTACAGTTCACGGTCGGTCTTGAGGTCAAGGTTGACATCGATGAGGTGGGTACCAGCGAGGAGCTATTGAAGACATAGGCCAGTCAGCGGCGCTTGATTGACCAACTTGCAGCTTTGGGGTGAAATCGTCCGGACTCACCTGGAAAACCATGCCGGAGGAGATGATAGGGGTGATACCCAATTCCATCAGAGTACCACGGTTACTGGCCAACATCATACGCAGCCAGTACAGGGGATCGGAAGTGTCAGAGGAGACGATACCATAGAGAGGCATCTGACTCATGACTAAGAAGATCAGGAGTGTCAACTGAAGCCAATTTGTCAGTTTCGAAAGCTCTGTTGCGCTCTAGCATATCAACGTACCCCAGTCCACATCAACTTCTGGTTGAAGGGCACCTTGGTCTCCGGAGCTGCCACCTCCGGGAGGAGGGGCGTAAAGGGTTTAATTAGATCAAGGAAGCGAACTAATTGCCTATATCAGTATATGTTGACCCATTGAGAAGGAGGATAGTGCGGTGTCGCAGGAATTGGTTGCGATCGCGTGCAGGGCACTCACGTCCGCTCATTGTGACTTTCCAGCTTCCAGATACTTGATCAAGTAGGGGGGAAGAGAAAAGAAAATGAAGCTGGTGGAAGGGCCAGCTAAAAGAGCGGAAGGGAAATACAAGGATAAAAAGAAGAAGAAGAAGAGAAGAAGAGAAGGTAGTCGAAGTAATAAGATGGGGAAGGGAAAGGGAGCGATGAGGTTGAGTTCGGGTGCGAAGCAATAGTCGCCTCGCTGGCCACTTTCGCAGTCGCGCTAACCCGTTGAGGCCACTTGGTCGCTTTCCTCCGCAGTCCTTTTGATTAGCTGCTCACCAGCCATTACGGAGCACTAGCTAGTCCTTCCCTAGGGTTAGCTCATGTCCCTCCGCTCCTACCAAGTACAACACTTGCTCATCTCTCCTCCCTTCTTCAACTCTGACTCAAGTTGGTCATGCAAGATAGACTTATGGACACGTAGCTAACTTGTTCATTGGAAGTAGGACCCTCAATCGACCTACAGCTTCCTTCATCACTCTTTACTCCCCTCTAGCTTCAAATAGGAAGAAATACCTCAGTGTAAGCAATGCTACAGATACAATTATTATTATTATTGTCATTACTATAAATGAGAATCAACAGACTGGTGGCAGTTCCGGACAATATTTCAAAATCTAGTAGATTCCATTATCTATCTAATATAGACTGTTCAGGCGGATAGGTATCATGGTATATAATAACAATTCATTCAAACCATTTTTGGACAAACAAAGGAAAGAAAATTACCACGCATCTTCATCGTAGCCAAGAGCTGTCCAAAGATCAGCTGTTCATATCTTCACATCTTGGACGCTGTATGGTTCCATGAGAAACAAGGAAGCTCGCTTCGACGATAAACTAGGGTCCAACCATACTCAGGCAGTCATCGATGACTATTTCAAGTTCACCTAGTCGCTCCTTCAAGCCCTTGTTTTCTTCCTTTAAAATTCCTAGGACGCTCCAAGCTTCAGAGGCAGGGACTCCGTGGCAGATCCCACATTTGGAGTTACTCGTCCACGAGCTGGCAATACCTTTGAGCACTCGGTCATATGCCGATTGTCGTGGTGTTGGTGTTTGTGAAAGAGGCTTGAGTTCTTTCTCTTTCAGAGGAGGAGTCGATACTGGTGCGGGCAATGTGATATGAGAGACGCTTGGAGAAGGAGCTACCGTGGAAGCCGGTGATTCGAGGCCTTCCCGGCGCGAAAATACGCTCTCTGTGAGGCTTTCATCGCCCGAATCGAAGCCCGAATCGCTGGCGTATGTGGCATTGCTAGCACGCTTCATGCTCCGGGTGGGAGTTTGAAGGTCAGCGCCCAGGTCGGAAATGCTCTCATCATCACTAGACCTGATGAGCCTGATACTGCGCAAGCGTGCTTCATCTTCTCTCTGGCGCAATTGTCTCTCCTGTTCCAGCTCCTCCGCCATGGCATTCATAGCTTTTTCTTGTTGATTTACCTTCTCTGCCATGCCGTCCAGCTGTATCTTCAGGTTTCCAACTCGCGTCCGGGTCTCTTCCAACTCTTCCTGTTTCTCATTCTTGTCGGCTAGTGCTTCATGTAAGGCGAACGTTCTTTGCTTATAGGCCGCCTGCAACCTTTTTATGACGTTCTCCGCATTGTTCCTCAGAGTATCGAACGCTTCCTGTTCGCTGAGACTAGTAGTTGTGGTTGGGAATAGAGCAGCGGCGATGTCCAAATTCAAGAGGTCATCATCTGCAGGCTCAGGTAGCTCCAGTCTGGGTTCCTGGCGCTTCAGTCCAAAGAAAGAGAAAGGACTTGACGAGGTTACCTGCTTTAAAGGTGAAGGAGCGGTCATACGCTTCTGTGCTCGCGATGTAGGGACCCTAGGGGATCCTAAGAAATCGCGAGCGTCCATCGTCGACGTTCCTACAGACTCTGACTGAGACATCACTCCCAGATTAACTGGTTCAGACTTGCCCTGAAACCAGCCTGTGAAGAGCTTCGCACCCTCTCCTAGTTTCCTCCTAGTGAGATTCTCCGTTGGCGGGTTCGAGGATCTGTCCCTATTGTCGAGATCTTCCAGTGTCTTGGACTGGTCTGCAAAGAGTTGACGGGCCGGCAGATGCGACTGTCGTCGAACGAAAATCTCGGTATTTGCACGTCGGTGGAAAGATTGGTTTGGAAGGGACGGTTTCTCCGATAGGGCTGCATGCGAGTTCTGTATTAACGAAGTCGCGGAAACTTCTTGGTGGGATGACTGAGGGTCATTGCAAGCCTGGGACGATCCTCTTCGCTCGGTCGGGGAAATTGTCGAAGGCGAACTCGGGGCGTTGATGACAGACGTGGCAGTAGTCAAGGTATGTTCGGCGTTTTGGAGCATGGTCGAGTTACGTATGACGGGACCAGGATTATAAAAGGGGGTTATTGGTTCAGAGATTATGAATGTATGCGATCAGTCACACCACTTGGACAAGAGCTGGAATGCCACGTCGGTAGGCAGTCCGGTCCAATGCACGGTCACCCACGGCAAACACCTGGTTGGGAGACAAGAAAAAGGAGAAGCGGAATGTGACCTCCTGAGACCTGACCGGTCCCTTTGCTGGCTTTTGGTTGGAAGGTGGGGGGTTTCAGAACGAAGTCAATGAGAATGAGGTAGAGGAATGAATATGGCAATTCCACAAAGTCCAATGACTTGAGACACAGGAGCAATAATTATCAAAGCGCGTAGTGAAGGTAAATCGTCGCAGACAACCTCGAGATTGGCAAGTTCCAAACGCCAAGCGATAGCGATTAGGACCCGCACGTGCCCCTATCACGGACAGACCAAAATATGCGCGAGATTCTATAATCGATCTAACCCCGTAATTCGCACTTATTTTGGGACTGACTGGCAGTAGTATGAAGCACTAAAGAGGAAATTCAGATGGTCTGAGATCGTTTCACGCGATGGGACAATTCGGCTACTATGAGACGCGGAAATATCGAGAGGTTGGTATATATTGTTTGGGGAAAAAATGCGGTGGCTGAACAGCGTCTTTCAGTACTCCACTACGATGAGGCAATGCGCTAATATGACAGGATCCTGGACACGTTCTGAACGTTGATCTCTGGGCTAGTCGGTTATTATTAGACCAATTTGCCTCATAGGTCAGCTACTGCTGAACATAAGCTGCCCCATACGTAACGACGTCATCTACAAAACTTCCATATGGAAACGCCATGAAAAGAGAAGCTATACATGCGTGACTAAGGGGGGGTATTGAGTTGCATGCATGTCACGCACGGGTCACCGATGGTCTGCAATGTCTGATCTCAGACATTCGAGCCACTGTTTCAAGCCCGTAAGATTATCTGCCCGTCGATCAGACCCTCCGATGAACTCGACCAATCACAGCGTTCTGCAGAATGAAATATCTGTGGCAGATATAGTGGGCATCAACCCTTATCACATTGCGAGATTGTATTGGTGATCAAAGGAGGACTCTTTACCCCTGTACGGAATGAAACGACAACCACGGAAACGAATGGAGAAGAAAGGTATTGCGGCCCATGGTCCGCAGCTGTCATCTTCTCCAGATACCCACGAAGCTTGCTTAGCATACAGAAATTGTATGTTCTCACCTAATACTGGGCTCTTTTAGGGCCATACCTAGTCGCACGAATCTCCTATCCGCTCAATCTTTGTGAGGTAGAACGACTCCAATTTGCCTTGGCCCTCCTGAAATTGTGCAGGATGCGTGAGCTGCAATGTAAGAGCCAAGTGAATACAGTATTCTATATTATGACCACTGACTAGGTCGGTAACACATCCACTAATAGTAGAGATCCTCTTGGGCAAAGTCCATGTCCAGATCACTCGGCACGTGCAGAATGAACGGCTTCAACGGTACCGCCAATTATCGATGAACAAAATAAACTTGGCGCACATTCCTTCAGTCATAGGACTGATCGAGAAATTTTTACCTCTGGCATATGAGCTTTTCCCTCACCCAATCAAGATGTACGGAGGACTCCAGCGGTCATCGCTTCGTGAGATAATCGAAGCATCATAGTGGTTTAACCTTGTCAATGCCAGCAAACGAGAACGAAGCTCTTGAGTAACGTTCGAGGCATGAATGAACTTCAACTACAATATAGCCTCGGCTTAATGAGTCCGATTAATACAACCTGACAAGATTTAGAACTAGCAAGAAATATGCCTCTTGGAGTACTCCAGTTTGTTATATATTCCGCCGATTTGGCCTTTCCTAAAAGGGCACAAGAAGAAGGCGGTAAGGTCGCAACGGGCGTAAGCTTCGATTTTGCCGATGTCACGGCGGAGAAAGTGAACTGCCTACAGTTACCATAATCCAGGCGTTTTCAGTATCGTCATCAGACCATAGTTGCATATTTAACAATAATTGAGACGTCAACCATTCATATATTCCAGTTCGAAGCTTCTTCGTATATCTTTAAAATAACTGATGGCACGTTCATCCGCAGACGGACTGAAATACCTGTCCAACGCTCTCGCAACACCCGAACAACTATCCAACTCATCGTCAGCTATTGATGGCATTGCTCCAGAGTTAGAAGCATCTATTCGATTTGCCGGCACTCAACTCACCCAAGCTGCTGGGGTATTGCTCCGATTGTCGCAAGATATCATTGCGCAGGCCATTGTGACGTTTACCAGGTTCTGGATAGGTGCTGAAGGTGGGAGTCTTCGAATTTACTCTGTCAAGGTTAGAATCACGTCATGATCCCAAAAAATTAAGCAGGAATCATTGCTGATGTGGCGACTTTGTAGGATGTCTCTGCTGCAGCTTTATATATGACGGCTAAGCTATCCTTCCAGCCTACATCACCACGATCGGTATTGAATGTCTACAACCTCCTCGTATCGAAGGACGCATCTCCTTTGTGGTTCATCAACCCGAAGGGGGTGTCAGAGCAGCCCCCCCTTGAGACATACTGCCTATCCGAGGGGGGTTACCAGAGCCAGCGAATGGTGCTGCTTCGAACCGAGTCGATAATTTTGCGCACGCTGGGATTCAATACCCATGTTGCCCTACCCCATACTATCGCGTTAACCTATCTTCAAACCCTCGGTATATCATCTTCTGCTGTTGCGCAAAGGGTGTTCGAGCATCTGAACGCAGCTCTTCTATCACCACAACTGTTATATGTGACACACCAACCCAACGCCCTTGCTGTTTCTTCTATATACTTGGCCGCACGAGAAGTCGGGGTAAAGTTGGTTGATGGTGAGTGGTGGGAAGTATTTGATGTGGATCGGGAAGAACTTGGATTCCTAGTGGTAGGTATGAGAAGTATGGAGGGTTTCGCGCGGGCAGAAATGGAGAAATGGAAGGGCCGGGCGGTACCTATGATTGTGGACGAAGTTGAGGCAGAGGTTGAGAGGAGAAGAATGATGGCAGAAGGCGAGTGAGAACAGACAATGACTTTATGCGCATCATTTATCCCACGTCTGTGGCACGCACATCATTGAAGGGCATCTAGATGCTGCCCTTCCATCAACCGTTGGTCAGAGTCAACGGACAAAAGAAGTGGGGACGAGCGTAGATCTCGTATCGCTCGGCCCTATATGGAGAAGAGATTATGTCCTCTTGCTTTATGGGCTTCTCCTTGGGGCAACTTAGCGCTTGACAGAATCTTTATTTCGCCACGAGTCTGTCGGCAGGAATATGGTCTTGCTGCAGCTCTTGGGCCATAAACATACCGGGCAGGGTCGAGCTGAGTCTGTGGATTTAACAGGTCATGATTGGTCATGTTATTCGAACATTATCCAATGAAATGTAGAATCCGATATACTAGTATATTTGCCTTAGTTTAGTCAGAAAATCATAGCATGACTCAACCGTTCTATGAGAGGAATGTAGTTGGACGTGATCCATGACATCCGTTTCCTCAGCCACATGATATACCCCGCGTGCCGCCATAGACCGCCACACTACCGATAAGCTGCTTCGATCACCACAGCATCTCCCTTCCTTTCTTTCTCCTCTCCTCGTATCACACCCCAGTCTATTGGCCTGATACAGCTCGCATAAAAATACAACTGTTACTATGAATATTCTCCATTCCACACTCTCCACTTGGAGAGACCGTCTTGCCCCAGTGTCCCGCACCTCCACCTTTCGCAATACCGGTCAGATCACTCCCGAGGAATTCGTTCTCGCAGGCGACTACCTTGTCTACAAATTCCCATCGTGGTCATGGGCCGACGCTTCTAGCCCTGCAAAGCGCGTTTCCTACCTGCCCCCCGGCAAACAGTTTCTCGTCACCCGAGGCGTCCCCTGTCACCGCCGACTGAACGACAACTTCGCTGGCGATGCGGGTCACGATGATGAGCTTGTGAGGGACATGCTGTCTGGGGGAATAGGCGGGAATGATGATGACGGATGGCTACGAACTGGCGGAGGCCAAGATTCTGCGGACCGACAAGAGAATAGGATAAAGGATGTACGAACAGTGGATGAGTCGGGGAACATGGGAGAACGAGAGGAAGAAGAGGACGAAATACCCGATATGGAGGATGAGGATGATGACGAAGAAGCTATTATCAGAGAACCGACATCCAGTACCACGCAGTATGTCTCTATCTGTTCCAGCCTTGTCTTCCGCGCCTTCGATCAGCTTTCTAACATACGGCATATAGGCCTACGCGCACTTACAATCTCTACATCACATACTCCAACTTCTATCGTACACCACGTCTCTACATGTCCGGTTACCTCTCACAATCTGAACCCCTCCCCCCACACCTGATGATGGAGGATGTTGTGGGTGACTATAAGGATAAAACCGTTACCCTCGAAGACTTCCCATGGTACGATGGCAACGTCAAAATGGCCAGCGTACACCCATGCCGACACGCTTCGGTGATGAAGACACTCCTCGACCGTGCAGATGCAGCGCTGAAACTCCGCCGCGAAAAGCTGAAGAAAGCTCAGTTGGACCCATCCAAGGTTCCTTCGGCCGGCGAAAGCGGTCTGGAGGGGTTAGTCGATGACATCAAGGCACTCTCCCTGAGTGATCAACAACAGCAGGGCAGTGATAAGAGCGGCGGAGATGAGTGGGAGGTTTTACAGCACCATGAAGAAGAACAGGTTGCCATCAGGGTGGATCAGTATTTGGTTGTTTTCCTAAAGTTCATTGCTAGTGTGACACCAGGGATTGAACACGATTTCACGATGGGAGTATGATTGAAATTATCTCACAGTTATGATCCCGGCTTCGAGTTTCCTGCTTTTCTTCACTTCTTATTCTGGCGCAGTGGTTACATTGATGATGGCATGGTTTACACACGAGTCTCGGAGTATTGCAGCTCAACATTAGCAGGTGATTTAGACATTAATCAAGCATGCATCTCTTACCCTTATACTCTGTAATCATTCCAGGACAAATGTAAGATTCCCGGTCCACGCCTCGACCCCGACACGATATGTAAACAATAGCAGAACCCAGTGTATAGCATTAACTCAGCGGTAAGTCATTCAGGACCCGGGTAGTAATTTCCAGATAAACTTCAATAATTTTATATGCTTTCGTATCTGTACCTGCACAAGATGTCTCATTTTCCACAGGTGACTCCTAACATAATTGTGGCTTCATCCGATACACCATGTCGGAACCTTATCTTTCTCGCCAATGTTGCTTAAGAATTGGAGGTTGATGTATAAAAATTAAGTATTCCCAGCCCCTTTTTCTTCGTTTTATTCCCCCATTTTCGATTATTACTCTTTCTGCACCATAACTATATCTCATTATGCAGGTACGGATCCTCAATAATAAGACAACTGCTAGTTCCTGAAACTAGTAAACAGAAAAACTTTTGCCCAAAAGATGACCTGCAGGAAAGGATCCACTTCCTGATGAGACCCGTCAACAACATGACTGACTATATACATTGCGCGCCACCATTTGGAACCAGATTAAAATAGCAAGAACAAAATTAATCCGGTATTTATTGATATGATGAAATCCGATGGATCATATTCGAACGTAAGTTGTAACAATTGTCAGCATGTTATTAGTAATGGCTCGCCTAATATGGCTAGGTAGGTTGGTATTTTTACTATATGACATATCTGATATTGAGAACATGGCAAGCATATTTGGATTGTTTCTTTTTATTTCCCTCTACATATGCATATATAGGTTGTTATTTACGATATCACAAATGTGAGTTGCCACTCCTCAGGAGTCGCCCAAGGTGGTAGATAAATTGGTAAATATTTTGGGATCGATTTCAATAGCACGGACTAGTTACCATTACTATGTTGAAGAACGAAAGCAGACACATAAGATAGAAAAAGGAAATCCCAATATGATAAGAAATACAAAATCAATAGCTGAATTAACATCAAATGACAAATACATCTAGAAACTAAAAATCAATATATAATTCAACTGCATCCTCCCCACAGACTCATTGGGATCAACGAGGTTAGAGGCAATTGACAGATCAATTTTCACAGAAAGAAGGTTACGAAAACATGTCGAAAGGTGTTCCTGAACTGTATGGTCTTTTCGATAGTAAGACGCTGGTGTAGACGGAAGACCTTATGCTGCGCACTTGCATGTGTAGGCTGGCTCGGGGACAACCACTGGCTGGGGTGCAGGTTCGGGCTGAGGTTCGGGTTGAGGCTCTGGTTGAGGCTCTGGCTGAGGCTCTGGCTCGGGAGCTGGGCACTCTTCAACGGGCTGCTCAGGTTCTTCGACCGGAGCCGGGGGAGCGGGAGTAGGAGGAGCAGGAGCGGGGGGTGATGGGGCAGGAGGCTCAGGGGCAGGTGCGCTTGTCAATGGAGGAGTGGGGACAAAGGGAGTTGGGGACGGAGGCAGAATTGGCTGGACTGGGACTTGGGTAGGTGGAGGGGAAGGCTGGGGCTCCTGCGGAGTAGGAGTAGGAGTAGGCTCAGGCTCAGGCTCAGGCTCGGGTTCAGGCTTAGGCTCAGGCTCAGTTTGTTCATAGCTATCGTGCGCAAAGCTTCCCCATTTAACGCTGGGGCCACCGGGGATAGAAATGGTTGTACCATCGCTTGCATCAGATCCAGATGAAAGGCTGGAGCCGCCATTTTGGCTGGGACCTTCGTGGTAGTCGGAAGATGCGTATGAGTCGCTTTTGTATGAGGGTCCGCTGGGGATGGAAACATCCCAGTTAGATCCAGCCTCAGACTCGCTGTTGATCTGTCTCGCGACAATGTTCTGGTCCTAATCTTCGTCAGTATATTGCACGAATGTAGTAGATAGGGCACACGTAGTCTCCATACCGCAGCAACAGGCACGGAAACAACTGAGGCAGGTCCGGCAGCCAACAGGAGGACCAGGAGGGCCGAAAGGCTCTTCGCGTCGTACATTGTTGCGAGAATGGTAGTGACCGTAAGACTTTGGAGGGAATGTCAAATAGCCAAGGTATAGAAAATGCTTCTCGAATGAGTGGATTCAGTCAATGATTGGAGGCTTGATAGAAGTGAAGGAATGCGTCGATGAGAAGTAATAATGAAGGAATGTGGACGAGTTTTATAGACTTCTGGGAATATCATCTTAATACGTAGATAGGGTTTGTTCTCAAGGGCCCATGCACCCTTTCTAGGGCAGAACTGTCCTAGAAACAAGGCCCAGGGGGCTGCCAACGCAGGTTCAAAGCTTAGGCCAAGGGGCAAAGAAGGCAAGAAAATAAAAATAAAAACGAAAGACCTAGGGTCCTGCAGGTAACTGTAAAGAGGTACTGCTGAGACACTAAACATATTCAAGTGCTTCAAGCAATTAGCAGAATACGAGAGAACCACCCGGGTGACAGTAAGGGATGCAAGGAGATAAGATGGGGATCTAGATCTGAGATTTGACGCAGGTCCATGCAAGGAGCCACAAGCCTATTGGCGCTAACCCAGTCAATATGAACAAGACCAGTATTGTCTCAATTGATAAAGGAGGTTCATTGGGTAGGGTACACAGGTTCCTCGGTGTAAAGTAGTTTGTATCTGATCCCAAAAAGTAGCAAAGAAACTAAAGTAATACATCATCCCAAATCGTCACTCATGATATCCATAGATAAAGCAGAAAGGGCGCCTCTCCTGTATATGAAAGATAAATAAATCCAACTGGTAATGTATGCACCAAATCCATAGTGTCAAACATACTGTCGCTGTGTAAAGTATCCAAAAGTTTTTTAGACCCCACCCAGATTTGATATACCAAATGCAGTACCAAAGTTCGTGCTATTTTTGAATTTCAGCTCTGGCTCCTGGCTAGCGCGGCTTGCAGCTTCAACCTCGACCTCCAGGGTCTTGGACTCTGCAGAGTACCCCAGGGCCTGCTTTGCTTGATCAAGGAGCTTCTGGTCTAGTTCCTTAAGGAAACCACTGTCGTGCTCTTCATCGTTTAGTAGGGATAGAGGGCCTTTCAAGGCTGGGTCGTCAGGTAGATCGGAGAAGTACGAGTCGGAGTTTTCTGCGGGTTGCCGAGGTGCCGCTAGAGCAAGGGCTTCACCCTCCTTCGAACGCCCTTCGCTTGGAGAAGGCTGCTCAATTTCCACATCGGCATCGGCATCGCCGTCAATAACGACCATTGGAGTGTGTCCGGCATCCCTTGTTAACCTTCTCTCTAATGACCCCAACTCCGAAAGCCTTAACTTCAAACTATTTCGGCGATCTAGGGTCTTTTCAGATACTGAAGCCGGGGACGCCTCCTGAGGCGAAGGTGACGGAGGTGTCATTACGCGGGCGACAATTTCTGGAGGCAACGCAGATGATTTGAGCGTAATGCCATCAAGTTTGCTGTCGAGCTTCTCAATCGGTACTGATACACTGGTGATTGCAGAATCGGCTGCGCGGGCTCGAGGCGACAACGCGGCGTCAAGAGAGAACCCTGGGATGGACAAGATTCCCCTTTGTTCCGGGTTCTGACTGTGGCTATCTGACTTCTCTATTTCGGGGAATACTCTTGTGGGTCGACTTCCGGGGCTAGAGCCCTCCCACACTTGAGCGCCACAGTGTTGGAAATTCTCTTCGGACAAGCTTGCCGGAGGCTGTGGGTCGAAAGGGTATTTAAACGTTAAGATGGATTTTGATGAAGAATCGGTTGAAGCTCTTGCAGAAGTAATTGCATGTCCATGACTCTTGAGGAGTGATTCGAGCTCGGCAATCCTCAATCTCAGCAGTTCCCGTTCTTTCTCCCATAAGAGCCTTTCTTCTGCAAAGAGTAATCTTTCATTCTCGAAACCAGCGCGTTGACGAACAAGGAGCGACTGTGCCTGTTCCATGTAGCTTGCACTCAAGGTCGAAGCGTCCCGCTTGGTGGTCAATGTCCCTGGATGATGGACGGCATGGGCGTTCGGTACCGACTGGGTACGACGAATGGGAGTGGCAGTTGGTGAGAAGCGCACTTCCTTGTAGACGCTGCCGTGGCCGTTTGGGACCTTCGCAGCAATTGATGATTTCATGATTGTGGTCAAGGTAGCCAAGTCTGTCGAGTAAGACAGTTCAAGGGATTGGATTCGATTGAGTTCTTGAAGTGGACGAACCCTCCTATAAAGGGATGATTAAGGAGGGGATTTCGGGGAAAGAAATGCGGTGCTGAGCCAAAGACCAAAAAAGGAAAAAAAAAAAAAGATCGGGTACTTGATGACCATTAGCTACATACTTCACACATGAATTGACAGTCATGAAACAGTAACTGATGTTTGTTGGTGGAGATTTCCCCAGGATGCGACGAATGGAACCAGGGAATCCACCAGGGACAACCTACAGGAGTGGCGAAAAGCAAACAATCAGTGCTAGGTGTTTCCAATCGCGGAAAAACAGCTAATTCACCGACTAATGGGGTATCAATGACGACGCCTGAAGCAGCCCTGCAAGAAAGCGCATGTGGAAGGATAGTTGGGATTTGGTAAATGTAAAGTGGTGTGGGCTTTGCAGCGACTAGGCGACCAAAGGCGGGAGAACAAGTGGACGATGCGCCTGACTTTGCTGGGTTCACAAGCATGCAACAACCTGGTGTTGTTACCTGAGGTATTAACGAAGCGGGTCTCTTGGACCGAAATTTAAGGCCTTCAGGCAAATGAATTAGACTTATTTCATGCCAGCCCAACAAAGTAGTACTAGAGGGTGTTCATGATTGGCCCACATGCGGGGAAAATGCCACTTATCGGGAGGACTTACTAGTACTTGCGTACTAATAGTAGTAGTACGCCGAGAGAAATATCCTGTGGCTGGGTTGGAACCTCGCCCTCAGTTGCAAGTGAAACGAAGTGGTTTGGGTCAGGGTTTGCGTCCGGAATACGACGTAGATATATGTACAAGTACTCCTCCGTACCCAGGACGACTAAAAGCAACAATGACGTTGCGCGAATAATAAAGTGAGATTATTTGCTCGACGGATGAGGCCTCAGGCCGATCACGAGGGGGGCCATGACGTTATTTGACTGCTGTCACCCCCAATGCCTCTCCACGCTATCTCGACCGCTGCCTGTCTTTCAACTTCCTAATGCGGGTGCCACCGGAAGATCTCATGAATCTCTTCTCCAATGTCTCATGCTCCACTCCGACTGGTGCGTGCAGGTGAACTTCTGAATGATCAAAGTTCCACCGAGTGGCGGGCATCATGCAGAATTCCCGATCCAGCAATTCCGGAATCTTGTGACCGGCGAGTAGGAAGTCAGCTTGGCTGCTCCTGTTCGTTGTAGTCGCCGTTCCTCTTACTACTAGTAGTATCACTGTAGCATTCTTGTGCGAGCTGCTTTGAATGCATCTTACAGGCCCTGCTGCTTTATGGTCACGGTCAGGGTCAAGTCACAGAGCAAAAAGCGGCCCTGATCTAGTCCCAAGTCAGTACTAGTGCTAGTATCCATGTCTGGTTCCATCCACGGTCGGGTCACGGGTATTGAAGGTGCTTGGTCCTGTACCCCTTGGCCCTTCCACTTTCCATTCGCTGTAGAGCCAATCAGCAAGGTCGCATTGTTGGGGTTCTCTCATGAAAGCCTCAAATGATTAATCAATTATAATGTCAACCTTACTCGATCGACCCTATCGATCTCTTCTACTGATATTTGTCTCTTGGAAAGCTCTTCTACTTCTCCTGGTCGTCTCCAGTCCCGGCCCTGCGTATGACACCTCGACCGCCCTACTGGCGCTGGGCCGTAATGCAACTAATACAGACCGCCATGGACTGTTGACGCCAGTATTGGGCTTGCTTGCCACTAATTTAACCCGATGGGACGCTATCTATTTTACAGAAATTGCTCGTCGAGGCTGCCTGTTTGAGCAAGAATGGGCATTCAATCTAGGGTTTGCAAGTCTCATCAGAACCTTTGTTGATGGTGAGGATACTTGCCCCCGGAGAGCTGAGACCGACTAACTATATGTCAGTTCTCCGACGCACAGTCGGCATTAGCCACGTGTTCATAGAGAGTATTATTGGCATTACCGTAGCTCATGCAGCTCATGGCATGTCGGTTTTTGTGTTGTATAGTCTAGCACGTGCTGTGTTTCCGGGAAGGAAGGGCCGCAACCTTGCATTTATCGCTGCGTGTTTACACATCTTGTCGCCTGCTGGGCTATTCCTATCGGCTCCTTATGGCGAGAGTACCCACGCTCTCTTGAGCTTCATAGGTTCCCTATTATTTGTACTGAGCTTTAGTCATTCGGGGGCTTCCACAGGTCACCATGATGCCTTAATCCCGCTATCTGGTATCTTGTATGGATTAGCAACGGCAGCGCGCAGCAATGGTCTTTTAAATGGCATGGTACTCTTTGAAGAAGCCGTAAGGCTCCTGTACTCAATGACTAAGGGGATCACCTTGGCTAAAACCCGTCGGCTAATCGCTGTTGGTATGGCTGGGATATTCACAGGCCTTGGCTTTGTGGTGCCGCAATATATTGCTTACGAGCAGTTCTGCATGAATCACAAGGACCCAAGGGCATGGTGTCGTAGCACTATTCCTAGCATCTATAGCTTCGTTCAAGACCATTACTGGTATGTGTGCTTTTCGGTAGTTACCATGTCTATGCTAATGCTACTAGGAACAATGGTTTTCTTCGGTATTGGACTCTGTCCAATGTCCCCCTGTTCGCTTTAGCTGGCCCAATGCTAGCAGTCATGACATACTCTGCTTTTTGGACACTCAGCGTGGGATCGGATGGACAGCAAAGTTCCTCCAACATGCCCAAAATGCAAATTCACTCTGAGGCACGATTAACTGGTCGTCTATTACGTAGTCTAGCAGCTCCCCAGATAACCCTAGCCATCCTGACTTTTCTGAAACACCATGTCCAAATAATCACACGCATGTCCTCAGGTTATCCAGTGTGGTATCTCTGGCTAGCCCATGCTCTAGTTGAGGGGCACTCGCTAGCATCATCGGAGAAAGCGGACGCACACCGGTGCAAGAAGGAGGCCCGGATCATGAATCAGTATCGGTACGCACGCATGACGGTCTTCTACATGATAGTCTATGCCCTTGTTCAAGGAGCCCTTTTCGCTTCTTTCTTGCCCCCAGCCTGAGAAATTTGCTTACGAGCAACAAATGCAATACAATTACCTCACCAAGCATAAAATCTTTAACTGTTTATAGTTAGTTTGACTAGCTGACCCTGTGGAGTTGCTACATATTGTCAGCAGTAAGCCATAGGAGACGGTAAGTAAACAATTAATCAACTTAGCTGATCTTGTTAACCAATCTAGAAGCCATTGGACTTAAATGGCTGGAGATCGATGGTGCCTAGCATACTGGTCACAGGAATCACCTGCAGCATGTCCACCTCCACGGCCGATCTAGCAACCATGCACTATGATCATCTGAACAATGGAAGTCTATTATTATACCGAAATCTGCAAGAAATGCTATGTATGTAACCCTTTTTTAACACAATCCTTGCGCCCGAAACCATGATTTCCATGCCAAGCTCATCTGACCTGAAAACTCCCGCTAATGATCCTGACCGATGAAGGGACTCCGAGATATGATTAATATGGTGGGTGGAGAATGATGAACAGAGAGACGTATTTATCTCCGCATCAATTTCGAAAAACGTCATGGTGCATCGACCACCAATCCAAGGGAATGATACTTTCCCCACCCTCGAAACTCCCAAGTGAAACCCCAGAAAGTCCCCTGAAGCGGAGAGTGCGACTAGGTATAATGCACCGAAACCCCGATAATGAACCCCATCGAAAAGGGGATAAATAAGACAAAAAAAAAGAAAAAAGAGAGAAGAATCACAGGCTAAAGAAATGCCCGCCCCTGCGACCCCCTCCTCCCCATCTGAATCTTCCTCTTGGCGTCGTCCATAACATGCCGATGAATAGACGGCAGCGCGAAAAACTGCATCTCCTTCCTCATGGCTCCAAACTTCGTCGCCAGATACCAAACTCCCCTAGCCGACAACTCCCTGCCCCCAACAGCCGCCGACGGGAAATAAAACCTCGGATCAAGGTAAAACACAACGCTGCTCCAATTGGGCAGCTTCTCGCTCAGGATCTTCCCGGCGCGCTCATACTCCTTCAACGTCCGCTTCGGCACGCCCGTCTGCGAATGCACAAAGAAGAAGATTTCAAAGCCGACGCTGCGAATGCGCCTGCGCGCCGTCTCACTAAGCGTATCCAGGAACGCACCCAGCCGGTCCAGACTAAACGCATTGAGAAAGAAGAGCGTATTATGCGAATACAAGAAGTCTTCGACTTCATCGTGGATTTGCCGATTCACGGAGAGCAGGCTGCGGACCTTGCCGTTCTCGCCTACCCAGCTGGGACACATTGATAGAGCGCGGTAACGGCCTCGCGCTGTGAAGGCGTTTCCGCGGTCATTGACCACGATCAGCGGCCTGTCCATGTACTCGTTCGGTACGTCGAGGGCGTATTCATAGATCATCAGACGGATTTCAAGTGGTAAGCGGAGGATGGGAGATTGTGATATTTGTGCCATTTTCTGTTTCTTTGCGCGAGCCCCTGGCTCGATTGTTGCTTGCGAGTCGTATATACTAGATAGACGTTATGATAAAGCCGTCCAAGTATAGAGGTTATTGCCTTATCGAAGGAGACGTGATGTAAGACGGTATATAAGCTCCAAACGCCATACGGTATAATGTCATCATCGACTGATCCGTACTACTCTAAGCCATAAGTAGCTCCGGATGGCCTCACGTATAGCAATATAGATAGCAAAGGACAAAAAAAAAAAGAACCAAGATTGACAACAAAAAGGAGTCAGGTGAGCGCCACAACTTGGCGTCAGAATCAGGTCATGCCAAGTAAAACAATGTGCTGTTCATAACACACGACTTAAGACAAGACGAGGCAAGTAATTATTAAAAAAAAAAAAAAGAAAAAAAAGGAGAGAGGTGAAAAAAATCTCCAAGAAGCCGAGGGAGGTTATAGTATCACACCACTTATCGGTCAGCTCACCCCCATTCATTCATGCGCATCGTTCCCGATTCCGAGAAAAGGATCTTTTCCACGACGAAAATCGGTCCGAACCAACCGGCTTCAGGGGACGATCAAAGTTTATTTTGCGAAAGAAAAAAAAAAAAAAACGTGAAAATCTTTTCTTTTGGGAAAGTTAGTTGCCACCGGGGCCTTGGTTATTCAATAGGAGCTAGGGGTGAAGTTCTATTGTATGTATGCTATAGATGAATGGGATTTGTTGAAACGCGCTAAGGAGCTCGATGCTTAAGGTCGTTGGCCGTCTGGGTACTACGAACTATATATATTGTTGTCTGATTATGTAGACGTCATAGTTCATTTATCTCGTGCCAACTTGTTTCTTATCTCTTATTGCTGTTAAGGTCAGGTTTGCCACATGGTAAACCGGTATATGAAGGTAGATTTCCAACAATCACAGGGGCATGACTTGATAGATATTGAAAATGCCGAAATAAGTAGTAACCGCAGTAAATACAAATCATTTGTCTTTTCTTTGCTCTTTCTAAATGGGGAAGCTCATGCGCGTCTATAAACGCCTAGGGACCATGCGGCTCGGAGAACCGCCAATCCCCAGGCCATTCCAATGCTGTCGCGAAGCACATTCAACTTGCTTCCAGTCACTTCTCTCCAGCCAACCGGAACTTCCGCCACTGGAATTCCTGAGAATTCAGCTAGCATGAGCATTTCCACGTCGAAAATCCATCCCTCCGAGTGCATATACGGGATGATGTAAGGCAGCGATGTTCGGGAGAACAATTTAAAGCCGCATTGGGTATCTTTGATGGTAGCCGTCTTGGCAGGCGTTAAAAGCCATAAGATCAAGTGAAAAGAGTGCATCAAGAAATTGCGTAACTTCGACCGCTGCATAACATGTCAATATTAATCCGAATGTCGCGACAGGGGTTGGAGCGCGGAATTGACAGAGTAGTTCCAAAGGGCAATTATCTCACCTTGACAACGGCTTCACTCCCAACCATATGCGCTCGGGAGCCCACTGCGACACCGCGACCCTCAGCGTCCTCGATGTCCTGACAAGCAGTGACAAGTTTCCCAAGATCCTGGAAATCACTAGCCCCGTCGGCGTCGGCAAAGACCACATATTGGCCCCGTACGTGTCTCATGCCGTGGGTGACTGCACCTCCTTTTCCTCGGTTCTCAGACAGCGTCACAACTCGAATTGTCCCAAGGGGTATGTGAACTCCCTCTTGAGTGCCCGGGGTCCAAGGACCCGCATAACCTTTGGGGTGCAGCGAAAGTTGATGGTCTCGGGCAAAGCTAAGCGCCATCTCTTCAGTTTTATCCGAAGATCCATCAGATACAATGATTATCTCCCAGCCCTTCTCATTTCCAGGACCATTCGCCGCATGGCCGTTCGCATGCCCATTGGCCGGTTTCCGCTGTCGAGTTGTCTTTCCCTCTGCGGCAATACCGTTTTCATTAGTACTATTGCGTAACGTTCCATATGACCGCTCTAAGTAGTTGACAGCTTCTTCCAACATGCCTCCAAGCCGTTTCTCCTCGTTGTAGGCCGGTATCACCACGGACATAAAAAGGTCGGCTTTTTCTATTCCTGATTGTTCGGGTGTCTGATTGGAGCGCTTGGACAGGGAATCTTGCCAGCAAGGTAATTGCTGGGGTTCCGTGATTGATCCATCCTTCGAAAGTGTTCGGTATTTTTTCTCTTCTGGAAACGGTTCTCGGGGTACAGGGGCAACGAAAAAGAGGGCTATGTAGGCCTGCATACGCGTGCGAAGAAAAAAAGGGCCGATTAGTCAATGTTCATAAATAGCTCTAAGGGGTGTTTGTATCGCATAGAAAAAGCATTGTCAAGAAAGTAGGGTAATAGGACAGATGGCACTTACAAGGACGAAGGCTCCGAGGAGAGTTGCGATAAGCGCAGTAAAAAGAATGGATGGAGGAACATTGGACAGAAGCTCGGCGCATTGAGCGCAAACCTCAGTCCACGGTTCTTGTGGCATGGTAAAGTCGATCAATTGTGGAAACTGAAGATCTGTTATATGGTGCAAGTATAGTATGAGCTCAAGCGCTCAACTGAACAGGGACAATCCGGACTTGGCCAGCCATGCGACACGGAGCCTGTCTTGGAGAAAGAAGTATCATAAAGATCGGAGAGAATGATCGAGGAAGAGCATCATGGACGGGAGGTTGAGATGAATGAGAAGACGATGTGAGGGGGAAAGCAAGCGGGCATATCTCCGACACGTTCCTGTCGCCAGCTTGTCCTTTTGGTGTTAGTGGATTCTGCGGCGCGGGTATTCATTGGAGGATTCAGACGGTTTGGCGGCGGATGTTCGTAAGGCACTCCACAGTGTTTAGCGTCCCACGATTCTTGCTATATCAACAACGTAAGCCTTTCTGGAATACTAACTAACTAGCTGTTGTGGGTGAAGTCGTCTGGTAAATAAGGTCCCTTGTGACCAGTACAATTGCAATGGTTGAGGGACCGCAGATGGTACAGAGCTAAGTTCTGTCAAACATTCCATACCAAGCTTATCAACGAAGGTTGTGCACCATTATAGTGGGCGAAAGCTGCGCCTGGGCGCATATTTACAGGCTTCGGTAGAAGCAGCTATAGGCTAGCAACATGTCTTATTGACCATACACGAAGAAACCAGAGCACGCGTTTTAACGGGGCTTGGAAGTAGCCGCGGGAGATATCTATCACTAACTTCCCCTGTTTTTGTATTCATTTCATCGTTTGGCGGCAAGTCGAGGAGTATCTGGTCTGATTTTTCGTTGAATTATAGCCCATACACATCGAGACTGTGATGGTAGGCAGTAGAGAAAGTGAGAAGAAAGTAATGATCTCATGAGTTCGATAAACGCAAACGACATTTGTCAATTTTAGATATACTGCGACTCCCAAAATGGCATAACTGTATGGGAGAATTTGCGCGTTTGTGAATGAAGAGCCACTCAGGACATGGTAGCCAGACATGAAGTACGCTTCCTATTAATAAGGCTCCGAGGCTCGTCAGGTCTGATGGTTAGACGGAGTCCTTGCTCATTGACCAGAGCTGGCGGCCTTTGAACTTTCCACTACAAACCTAGACTTTGCCGTTTCAATGAAGGCAAGCCGTTCGCCGACCAAGACTAACGGCTCGGGTATCCTACTGACGTAGTTTGCAACACACTGTCATCATTAAAGGTGATGTGCACTTATTTCTACTGGCTTTGAAACCAGCCTAGGAGTCATTGATAGCATGCTCTGCTTGAAACATGGTGGCGAGTCCAATGCAGGTTAGGGGCACACAAGAGAGGGCAGAAGAGGCGGTGTCCACGCAAGGGAAGGCAACTATCCAGATCACTATTCTTTACACCCGATAACCTTCATTAATCCAGGCGATAAAGTGTATGCCCAGAGAGAAAAATGTTTTCTATTCGTCCTTGATGCCGGTAGGCCGGGGATAGGCGAGGCTCGGTTGATTTGGCAGGCAAGGACCCATTCACTTGACATCTAACGGTCGTATTTGCTGGCATCCGAGCACCACGAACTATGCGCTGAGACATACGAGTAAGCTGACGCAATATCGGCAAGACTCTTAGTGTGAAAAGACAGACAGGTTGCTCTGTTCAAGACAACGTGGCGGGTTAGGTGTAACTTGCAACTTTTATACCTAGACGAGCATGACAGACAGTTTCCAGAATTGACTCATAGCAAGAACTTCTGACTACTGCGTATTAATACCCACAAGAGGCTCGAGGCTCACGCGCGTTGATGTTTGCTGGAGCCAGGAATGCAAGTCGATGCGGACAAGTGGTGCGAGTAGCCCGAGCTGGCCAATCAGGGGACCCTTGGCAATCGGCAGGCGATTCAGGCTGTCAGGCAACTTTCGAATGCTGGACTACAATTCCCGAGTATCGGTAACTTTTCAGAGCACAGCCTTCTTGACAATTCACTATTAATAGCACGGAATCGGATCGCGTTGCAATGGTTGGTGGATTATTAAACAATGAGAAAATTTGTGATGGAAGTCACTAAAGAATATCATCGTTGGGTATTGGTGTTTCAATTGTCGGTGAACATCATCATCATTGTCAGATCCACGAGGGTAGATTGCAGAATTGGCATGGAGCGGGAAGTGCGTCATAGAGCGGCATCATGGGCGCGCCACATAAAATGTGGCGCTGCCACTGGCTGGAGCGGTTCTGTTCGATTCTCTTCACGTCCTAGATCACCTATCGGTATATCTCGTAGATTAGAATTGATCTTCAATGCAGTACCCAGATTAGTTACCGTACACTGAAAATACAAAAATGAAATAAAAGGTCTGTTCTTTTTTTCCCCTCGTTATCCAGGGATAAACCGGTAAGCAACAAACACAATACTCTGGAAGGCAACTGAAAGGCGGGCTGACTACCCGGAAGTGGCTTTTGCATGGGTTGCTTTGACTTGGAATATCAGGCATTATTAAGTAAAGTATAACCCCAGCCAGCTTCGGACGATTTCCTGCTGCCCCTCTCCGCCTTCAACCTCTCTCTTCAACACCATGTTTGTCACTTTTTGCCTCATATCTTAACTGTTCCTCTTTTTCGCTCTTTGAGTCACGTCGCGATATTCCTATAGGTGTGGGTTTTCTTCGTGTGTCAATGCTCCGCGTCCCGATCTAATTTGTTCGTTTATCTACTAGGCAGATGGAAGATGAAGCTAGTTGCCTAACCCATAATATTCCCTCCCTCTTTCCTTCATAAGTAACCTCTTTGTCCCAGGTAAGCTTTTGGATATTTTCTTTGTGCCATATTTAGACCCACTTTTTTGTTATATCTCTCTTCTGCAACGTGCGCCAGAGCCTCCAACATATCAACATAGATTGTGCACAATTCCGGAGGCTCTGTGACAACGGATCAACTCTGTCTAATCTTGTCTGTCTTTCCTTGTGTCAAGCAAGCTTAGTTCATTCTTACGCAACTAATATACTCTAATGCACCCTTGGTAAATAAACAATACCATCTCATTTTTTAAAACATCCTGTTTCTCTGGAACCTGATATTTTCTGGAACTTCGGAGTTAAGCCGCTAACGGGACCAGATAACATATTGTCTATGCTTCTACCAACTACAATGAGCGACGATAATGTTGATCGGGAAACCTTTCCTTTACGATTCCGAGATCCTGTAAAAGACCAGAATCTGGGTTCTCCCGAAGCTGGAATAGAGACGGACTTTCCTAAGTGAGTAATTCACCCATCGTTAGGTGGCCTCTGTTAAATGACGTGTCGAGGCCACCAGCGGCTCACCGGTCATTGCAGCAAGTTGTTGACCTTTCACGCAGGAAGCCAGTTGTACCAGTAGTATCGGATGCTGGGTCCCCAGCAGGGTCATCTTCGACCAATCAGGCGCGCCACTCCACCAGTTCTTCCCTTTTGAAGAGACTTGAGTCTAGTGGTGATGTCCCGAATGGTTATATTGCGGATGGTCTTAGTGATCCTGATAGCGAATGGGCATCTCCGAATAAGAGGCGTTGTCAGTCACGGCACAGCAGACGGGGGCCATCCAGCGCGTCTCCCGATCGCGCAATCCGCAGGCCAATAACTGAAAATCCACTGGCAAAGGTCCAAGTCAACGGAACCGATACTCACTTTCGTAGTGCTTCTACCAATTCGCCCGTGGATCTCAGTGGGGAATTTCCACAGACACACCACCAAAGAGACTCCAACCAGATTTTGAATGAAAGCCCACATATATCGCATGCGAACCTTACACAGGGCGCTATGGCTTCCGTGCCTGTATCAAACGAATCTAGAGAGAGTTTGAGCCATGAACAGAAGATGGTTGGAGGGCACTCTGCGGTAGCTGGAGGTATTGAATCAACTGGGATCACCTTACAGCCAGAAACTCATCCTATAACAGAAGATCAATTAGCCAATGAGGTTCGAGGAATCTACGCCGGGCTCGTCATGGTGGAGAAGAAGTGTATCGACATCGTCAAACAGCAATTTGTACAGGAAAGCGAGCTGTCCCATCAGCAATGGCAAGCCTTGATCGCCTTACACCGAACCTTACTCCAAGAGCATCACGACTTTTTCATGGCCTCGCAACATCCGTCGGCCAACCTAGCTTTGAGAAAATCATCGGAAAAGTACAATGTGCCAGCTCGTATGTGGCGCTACGGAATCCAGACGTTTCTAGAATTGTTACATCGCCGACTTCCTGATTCCCTCGAACATATGCTGACGTTCATTTATCTGGCTTACTCAATGTTGACACTGCTGTTAGAGACCGTCCCAGCATTTGAAGAAACCTGGATTGAGTGCCTTGGAGACTTGTCAAGATATGGCGTTGTTATTGAAGAACGTGGCTTGCTGGATCATGAGATCTGGGTTGGAATCGCAAGATATTGGTACAACAAGGCAGTAGATAAGAACCCTGATGTCGGCAGGATCCAACACCATCTCGGAGTTCTAGCTCGGCCCGATATTGTCCAGCAGCTATTTTACTACACGAAATCCCTGGTCTGTGTGCGCCCATTCCCACGCACCAGGGTAAGTATCCTGCGCTTCTTTAGCCCGCTCTTGCAAGGCCCTAGAGTGATCGGCTACCCCCATGTCACGACCGCCTTTGTGTCCGCCCATGGTTACCTTTTTACGCAAGCTACTGCAGTGCATTTCATTAAATCATCGGATGAGTTTTTGTCCTCCTTGGAAAAGTATATTCCCCGCGTGGGCGTGACTTTCAGAATGCAGGGAGTTTACCTCACTTCTTCTAATTTTGCGGCGATGCTAGAATACAGTAATAGTGACTCTCTCCTATGCGCTGAATTTCACCAAGTGGCTACAGAACCGGCCAAGTCATCTGAAGGCCTCTCTACTGCCGAGGACCCCGTCAGAAGCGCTCATGAGGCGGTGGCTAGTTTTCTTACCCTTGGGGCTCAACAAGATCCCTCCCAGCTGGCTTATGGGTCTAGCCTTGCTTTTGAGACGTTCTCCGTTATGCTTGAACACGTTAACAACATGAATCTATTTCCCGCACTCCATACCTCTCTGGCATTTCTATGGTGTCTGTCATATACCGCGACCGGTATGAAATGTGTTGAAGCCGTAGTTCCTTGGAACAGAATTGTCATCTTCCTCAATATGATCATTCAACCGAGCTTTCTTCAAAGACTGGTTCAGGGTTGGTTGACCTCACTGGACGAATTTGACTTCAACTTGATCGAGGGGGCCGAATTCCCTATTTCTAATGAAACGAGTTGGCTTCCGGAAGACTTCCTCATTCGTGGCCAGATCTGGAGCCAGATTTATTATCCTTCGTCGTTCTTTGAGAATTGCCCTTCCGATGAGGATGGGCGGAATGTCGAACGAGAGTCCCTGAGTATCTCTAGGATGTACCGGTGTCTCTGGTTGGGTGTGCGGCTAGCGAAGGTATGTGCACGTGGACAAGCGAGAGTGTGGATGCTGGTGCTGACATCTTTCAGTTCAATCGTTGGATAACGTACGACCCTGCTTCGCGACAGTTCACTGTGACGCCATTTGCTCTGGAACTCGAGACAGCTCTGAAATCCGAGACAATCTCCGAACTCGAGAAGATGGTGGAAACAAAATCCGGTAGTGCTCTTTACCTGGTAAGGCATAGGTTTCAGTTGCCTGGCCTACAAGACGGCGTGCCGTGTCCTCCATCAACAGGTTAGAATACATAATCCAAACATAGACATTTTTATGACAGTTCTGGCCGAATCTCCTGTATCTTGTTTAGTCCTGCCCATGTGGCCTAGACAATAGCTATCTCAGCTAGAGCATTGCAAAGAAACAAAGTGCGTAGAAACCCCATTCGCCATTGGCTTTCTGACAGCACCGGTTTTCTACGACGGATAACTCGCTTCATCATGATGCAGTTTGAGATTTCCTGACAGTGTTCTCTTCGAGGACCTATGGGCTGTGGGTTGTATAATGGTAACCGGGAGAAAGTAGGAATACGACGTGGGCGAGAAACAAGGATCTTGATTGGCCTTAATTCAAGGCAGAGTTCTATCACGCCATCAAGACAGAATTGAAGCAATAGACCATTATCGGCGCTTATACCCTTGTGTCCGGGTGACAGTGACCGTATAAGTTTGATGTATCGTCCAATGTTGTGGTTCTCCATAGCTTGATTCACCCCAAATCCTTTATATAATTTTATCCGTCAAGGCCTATCAGATATTATCATGTCTGTCGCAAAAGAACTTGAAGTGGCCAATGCTGAATACGCTGTGTCCTTCAGCAAAGGCCACCTGCAGATCCCTCCGAAACGGTAAGCACATAGTCTTTTCACTAATGTATCACCTGTGGTGGTCTATCAATAGCGCAAGTTCAAGGCCTGATAGAGTCAATCCGGCATCGTAGGAAGGTGGCCATCGTGGCATGTATGGACGCCCGTTTAGGTAGGTATTCAAAATCTCTTGCAGCACTTATACAACATTCGTGATTCACTGACTGTGATCAAGATCCGGCTCGCGCCCTTGGTCTTGAGGAGGGCGATGCCCATGTGATTCGAAATGCCGGTGGTCGCGCAGCAGATGCTTTGCGAAGTATCATCATCTCCCAGCAGTTGCTAGGCACTCGAGAGATTGTTATTATTCATCATGTATGTGAGATCTCATAGTACTCGTGGAAGGAGAAGGTTGGGTTAAAAGAGTATTAGACTGACTAATATATTGGATCACTCTAGACCGACTGTGGGATGCTCACATTTACCGATGAGGTGATCCGCGGCAAAATCAGATCGGATCTTAGTCAAAATGCTGATCATATTTCTTTCTTGCCGTTTGGTGATCTCAAACAAAGTGTGTTTGATGATATCAAGGTGCTGAGAGAGAGTCCTCTGGTCTTGGATGTTCCTATCACGGGGTTTCTGTACGAAGTTGAAACGGGAAAGATTGTCAGGGTCGAGGATAATTTGTGATAGCAGACAGTTCTTCCCTGTATGGCTTGAATTAACCACTACTCTGGCTTTATTACAATCAAGTATCATTACATCTCCACTGAGCCAAGTTAGCCGACCTACTACTGATTTGGATTCTCAGTGGCCCTTTGCTATCTTGAAAAAAGACACCATCTTATACGAGATGATCACGAGTGACAGTGGGTTAGGCCAGTCATTGGTCTGGAACAAAGCTGGCCACCCATAGTTGCTACAGAGTCGCATACACTCACCATGCTGTGCGAGGCCGCTTTCTTGTTTTGCTCCCAACCTACGAATTATTCTTGCGACTAGTCTCATTATTTGTCAAGTACATGCCGCGGTTCTCGTTACACCAACACTCACTAATCACACAAGGATGTCACCTAGTATGGGAGGCCACCTCCAGGCTCTTTGTCTCCTTACTTTTTGAATATTTTGCTAACAGTGTAATATACAACACTGGCGTTTCCGATAGTGAAATTGATACCCCAGAGCGGGATATCTGTATTATTGATACCCATTCGCAACCCCTGTCGGTCTTTACATGTCCGTTGATGGTGTGGTGCTTGAGGCTCAAATCTGCAAATTCAGACGCTCTACACCACTGGTTATCGGCATCAAGGGAACGAAACAATATTTGTAAGGTAGATACACAGCCTGCCTGGTCAGAACGATGCAAGCACGACACGGCCAATGCTGTCCAATAAAGAAGGCCCAAACCAGTACCACGATGAGTGTCTGCTCAGTCGCATATTGTGCTCTGAGGTTAGGGATCCAACAGGTCTCTACAACCAATGATGACTGAAATACGAATCATGGGATACTCAGACCGCTGAGACTTATGCAGAGCCCGACATGGGTGAAGTGACTTCTTTTACGTGGTGGCTCCGCGAAGACACTGCCTAACCACGGTGGAACCCAGAGACAGATTACCCTTTACTTCTTCCTAGCACTGTCGATCCGTGACTTTGGACAGCCCTCCATGATATAGTAGGGCTTGATCAGAATGTATTATCCTCAGCGAGCTATACTGTATTCTTTACAGGTATCAGTGCTTCTCTTTCCTCTGCTGACTCTTGTTTATGGTGAGTACTCAAGTTGCTTAGCGCAACTACAGCTCGTACTGTACAAACGGACCCTCTCGTGCAGTCGGAATACTCTCTGCTGACTCACTCAAAAACAAGGCATCGAGATCATCCAACCAGCACGAGGCGATCGACTGAACGCCATGGACGGCCTCACAGTGAGGTGGACGTACAACTCCTCACACGATCCTTTGGAGGCCGATTTCCAGATTGGACAGGACGGGCACAATATTGTCCCACATGCGATAGTTAAACTTAACATCAGCTCTATTGGGTTTCAGGCTGAGGATGTTACAGGCCTTCTGGGTCCGTCTGCATTCGTGAGGATATGGAACGCCGACTGGATAGACATCTCGAGGGTTAAGGAACTCGCCAAAGTCACTGGCTTCACACTTACCACTTTAACTACCATTGTGAATATGACATCGTCGGTGCCCCGTACTACTACTACCAGACCTGGAACCGCGACTGGCACCTCAGTCTCAAATGGCTCCCTGTCGACCACAGAACCGCCCAAGATGACGGTGACGCTGACAGCCATTCCCGATCCTATGCTGGAGGAAAGCAGTCAGGGATTGTCCACAAGTGCGAAGGCAGGAATTGGGGTCGGTGTGTCCGTTGGGGCAATCATGGTTATCGCAGCCGCTGCCTTTCTTTTCGTGAGGAACCGTAGGAAGCAGGGAACTAGTGAGGATGTTCGACATGAGCTACCATCTGAGCTACCTGGTACACCCACTCCAAAGAAAGCAGTAGTCCTGTCTGAACCTGCAGAGCTCCAGTCAACATCAACCACAAAGCATGAATCTTATGAACTGCCTGTATAATGGCGGCGGTGTGTAGTATGAAGCTTCGACATGTCTCTACCAAGCGAGGCATCACAGGAGCGATGCAAGCATTCTGTTCCGTTGGGGTTAGTGAAAATGGATGTCATTATCCTACTTCCATTTCAAAGATGTCAACATTGAGGAAACCTGTGGAGGGTTACGCTACTTTTAAAGTATACTTGAAATAGTGCACTACACGGCGGTGTAGTACATTAAAAGTGAATGGGAAAGCTCTTCCTGCTCATACTTATATTTTTCAATCTTGAGTACATGCCTTCCAGTTTATATTTTCACTTATATCGGTCGCTGGCCAGAATCCGTAAATTCGCATGAGTCTCTAGTTATTATGATTCAGACTGATCGAACAAAACTCTATAGTTTGGAATCTCAATGCATGTTATAAGCTCATAGCAATGATTAAATACATTCATCAATTAACAATGACACCATAAAGCCCTACTCTCACAACACCTAGTAACCAGAGTTACCGTATCCAGAGCGCTCACTGGATCCGTACGAGCCACCCTGGTTCTTAGAACCGTAGGAGTCAGAAGATCCATAGCTGTCATTCTTCGAGCCGTAGTTGTTACCGGACCCGTAAGAGCTGCTATCGTTATCACGACGGCTGGAACCATACGAGTCGTCGTTGTCACGACGGCTAGAACCGTAGCTATCATTCTTAGAACCATAAGAGTCATCGTTATCATTGTCACGACGGCTGGAGCCGTAGCTGTCATTCTTAGAACCATAAGAGTTATCGTTGTCGTTGTCACGACGGCTAGAACCGTAGCTGTCATTCTTAGAACCATAAGAGTTATCGTTGTCGTTGTCACGACGGCTAGAGCCATAAGAGCCACTGGAAGAGCTGTGGTCCTTCTTGGAGCCGTAGGAATCACCAGAAGATCCGTAGGAGCTGTTCTTGTTGTCATTGCTGGAACCATATGAGCCACTGGAGGAGCCATAGCTGTCCTTCTTAGAATCATAAGAGTCATTCTTAGAGCCGTAGGAGTCGTTAGAAGAGCCGTAACTATCCTTCTTAGAACCATAAGAGGTATCGTTGTCGTTGTCACGGCGGCTAGAACCATAAGAGCCACTAGAAGAGCTGTGGTCCTTCTTGGAACCATAGGAGTCCCCAGAAGATCCGTAGGAGTCGTTGTCTTTGCGGTTGCTGGAACCGTAGTTGTCACTGTTGGAACCGTAAGAGCTCAGGTTGTCCTTCTTGGATCCGTAGGAATCACCAGAGGATCCGTAGGAGTCGTTGTCCTTGCGGTTGCTGGAACCGTAAGAATCGTTGGAAGATCCGTAATTGTCCCGGTTGGACGAGCCGTAGGAGCCGCCGCTGCTGTTTTTGTTACCGGAGGAGCCATAGCTGTCATTGTCACGGCTGGAACCGTAGGAGTCATTTCCTCCAGAACGGCTGGAGGAGTTGTAGGAATCAGAACCACCGTAGCCAGAGTTTCCTGAGCGGTTGGAGGACTATGTGATTGTTAATGGGGTGTCGGTGTTATTTGGGTCAGGTAGTAGACATACACCGTACGAATCACTTCCTAGACCGGAGGACTGAGAGACGTTAGTGCTGAGAAGGCTTAATAGACGTGTCAACAAGTGGGGTAGCCTACTCCGTAGGACTCATTGCCCTGGCGAGACTAGGAAGCATTAGCAACGCTTGAGAACAGGGGAGTAGTGAGCAATCAACGCGGGTAAGACCTACTCCATAGTTATCATTTCCACCAGAGCGGCTGGAGCTCTGAAAGGCAATTCCTGTCAGTGTCCGTCCTTACAATTGAAAGACGTGTGTGCAATGAACATACGTAGTCGTTGTCACGGTTGTTGTAAGACATTGTTTATGACTTGTGTGGAGAGGTTTTGGGAGAGGGAAAGAATTGGGATGCAATTGAGACGATGTCTAGATACTAATAGAGGAGGAATATCAAGGCAAGATAGAAACAGAGACAAGACAAAGCCATCAAGGCCAATATTTATATCGCGATCAGGGGGCATGGGGGTAACTCCATGCCGCTACCGGGCTTGCTCATCCAGGCAGCGATTTCCGGAGATCCCGTTCATAGGTTTCAGCTCGTGAGGGGCAGAAGGAAGGCGGCAATCACGCTATGAACCCATCCACAAATGAGCAGATGTGGAGTGGGCACGATCCCATCTCAGCAGATCGAACGGTGTGGCAAGTACGGCTGAGATGGACTACGATTGGCCTCTCTTGGCACGGGTCAGGGGTCTGGTCCCATCGCCAAATTAGTTGACCCAGAAGACAAGCCACAGCTGGCCCGATTGACTTTGCGTGATTTCATGGGGACTGTGGCGCAGCCCCCTTTAGGGTTCGATAGTGTCATAGACTTGCTTTCCACTCTGGGTTGCCTGCAGTAAACACGAACTTAACCTCTCTTTCATGCGAGATTGAGAAACTTTATCTCGCTGTCTGGCAAATTGCACCATCTCAGTTGCACTGACCCATTGCATTATGGCACCATCTCTGTTCATCCCTCTGTTCCCCACTTGGTCGGTGGGAGGGAGCAAAGACCCAGACATCCAGACCATCCGGACCCGGGAATAGCTCATCTGACTTTTGCCGACATACCCATTCGCAACCATCAAAACACTAGCATTTGAGTTTCTTACGGATGCCTATGACCCCTCTTGTTCATTTCGCTTGCGGAGACTGTGCTCACGTCGTCTCTGACTGGCCCAGGTGCTATGACGTCCAAATTCAATGACATTGGCCCACTTTGAACAGGTGTATGCATAATACTACCTACCACTCGAATTGCATTTAGACCTGGTAAAGAGACTTGTGTATTGAAAAGGCTGCAATGGAATCTTTAGATCATTCGCAATTCTCGAGTAACTATGCGCGCCCTTATCTAATCAACTTCGCTATGACAACTTCAGCTCAATTGCTAAGTCTTGCGCTAATGAAAGCCAAGTTTTCATGGATAAGACGTCAATTGGGCAATCGAAAGTGAGCTGAGACATATGCAAGCGGACATAATCTCTCAACTTTCATCCCATGTGGTTGATTCCTCGCGTGGATACCTGGTAGCGAACCCCACAGTCAGTTAAACTGCGCTCAGCCACACTTCTTGAAGAATCGCTTCAACTCACTCTGTTAACGTTCTAAACATGCTATTTAGGGTCTTTATACCAAACATGGTTCGCTAGAGACCCCGTGAGGAGCAGGATGCTGCTCACTCAGCTTACAAAAGCTCTAGAAAGACAATATTTCAACGTCTGAAATGTCTTTATATATGAATGTACTATTATAGTTTAGTATCTCAGTACAAAAAGGCACCTAGTGTATCCTGGATTGGATCTCTACTATGCTCTATCCCAAGACCTGGGTGTCCTTAAACCTCTAGATCAGGGCTGGCTCCAACTTGATATAAACCAAGTTGAATGGCATCAAAGCTTGGATGTTCGCTACATCAATGCTCGTATATTCCATGCAGCTAAATACCGATTTTTGGGTGACATTCTTGACTCGCTCTGTTGGTGGGGTTTTACTAAAGGGACAAGATTCTAAAAGCCGGAGAAAAAAATTCCAAACGTCGAACCTCCGCCCTAAGTTATCACTGCCTACTTTGAGTATTTATATATGTTGGAAATACTAATATATTGAGCATGGCTAACCGCCGGTCACGTTATATCAACGACATTAAATACCAGCCCGCTAAGACTCAAGTACTATTTCCTCAACAATATCCACCAGTTTACAAGGATACGAATCCTACGATCTAGACCTGCACACAAGGGGAAAAAAAAATTTAAGATGCAATGCTCATTAACGATGACACCATACATTATCAGGCAGTTCTATAGGGAAAAAAGCGACAATCATTCCCCAGTTATCTGCAAGTTCCCATACCATGGTGGGGTCAACGGTCGTATAGATAAAATTGCACAATCAATATGGGGATGGCATCATCAATGACAAGAAATACGATCATTCAGAACATTACATACAAAAGCCGCAGGATGAAGTTGGCATACATGTAAGGGGCTATGACTTGTCATACATTTCATTTGAAAAGGCCACCGCTTGGCGTTTTTTGGCAGCATTTGAACAAAACTTGCACATACGCCACGTAGAGCCATGAGCAACAAGGAAGAAGAGACCACGACTCGAAAAGCAGCAAAAACTGTTGAAGAGAAATATGCAGATGTCACATTACGCATTATCGAAGACCATGGTGATGAATTCGGGCCCCTAAGTCCTGAAAAGGAGAACAAGTTGCGCCGAAAGTTGTACTTGAATATTATGGTTCTGCTGTCTGCGATTAATATTGTACTGTTTGTGAGTATACCTGCGATTGATTCATAGATAATTCTAATGATTGGCCGGTAGATTGACAAGTCTACACTTGGTTACGCAGCAATTCTTGGGCTTTTCGAAGAGACGGGCATTTCCAAAAAGCAGTACAATGATCTAAACACTGTGTTCTATATCGGTATGAGCTAATGCACTCACCTCTGCTACCCTGGAGCTATTTCTGATATTAATTCGAGGCTACCTTGCCGCGCAATGGCCCGGACACTATCTAATGCAACGTCTTCCCTTCGGAAAGTTTGTCAGTGTCATCGTCTTTCTATGGGCAGCTGTTATCTTCCTTCATTGCGTAGCCACCAAGTTCGCCGGCCTGGTAGTCCTCCGACTTGCCCTTGGTGCAGTGGAGGCGGTCATTGTACCCGCGATGGAGATGACTATCGGCATGTTCTTCAACCGTCAAGAACAATCATTTCTCCAGCCAATCCTCTGGGTAACTTGCCAAGGAGCCCCCATCGTGGCAGGTTTCATCGCATACGGTTTACTCTACAGTCATGGCGCAGTTCTTCCTTGGAAGCTTTTCATGATCGTCACCGGCGGAATTACCTTTTTTCTTTCTATCTGGGTTTGGTTCTGCTACCCGAGTAATCCAGCCGAAGCTCGGTTCCTGACTTTGGAAGAGAAAGTGCATGTTATCCGTCGAGTGCACGACTCCAGCCAGAGCTCAATCGAACAAAAGCGGTTCAAGAGATCTCAGTTCGTTGAAACTCTGCGCGACCCTGTATCCTGGCTCTTCGCACTGCAGGCTTTCACTCTGATGTACTCAAACAATCTCACCTATGGCCAACAGAATCTTCTCACGACTTCTCTCGGCGTTTCCCAACTGGGTTCGACACTCGTCGCTGTGGCAGGGGGTGGCTTCGGTGTCGTACTTTGTATCGTCGCCACCTTCGTATTAAAATGGTTTCCGAAATATCTGGCCATCCATGGGCTCTTCTGGTGTCTCCCTGCTATCGCTGGCGGAATCGGAATGGTGGCAATTCCCTGGGACAACAAACTCGCACTCTTAGCCTGTATGCTTCTCGCGGGACATACATACGGTATCACCTATATCATCGCACTCGGCTGGACGACGTCTTCAGCAGCTGGGTATACTAAGAAGCTCACACGCAATGTGATGTTCATGCTCGGCTACAGTGTCGGGAATCTCGTATCACCGCAGATCTGGGTACCCAGCGCTGCACCCAGATACTATGGTGCATGGGTATCCATGATAGTGATTAGTTGGGCGGGGACGCCCGCCATCTTATTTATTATTTGGTTTATTCTAGCGCGGCGAAACGAGGAACGAAGAAAGTGGATGGCGGAACTGAGTGATAGCGAGCGGGAGGAGGGCTGTGTGGAACAGCTGGATGAGAATGGGCAGATTATCCGAAGGAAAGTTGATCTTGCGATGCTGGACTTGACTGATTTGGAGAATAAGTTCTTTATTTACCCTCTCTAAATCCTAGACAGACTATGAGGCTTGACATCACAATGAATATCAAAATGTATTGTCATCTTTGGATCAGAAGTAGGAATCTGTGTGTAGGAGGGGGAGTTGGCGAGGAGAAAGCAATACACAGGCAATGGAAGAGAAGGGCAGAAAGGCGCTTCAAGGGACACAAGGGGTTTCGATGCGGTCAAGTCGGCCATAGAATGTATCAGTTGACCCGCTAGGCATCATGATAACATGCCTAGGATCAATACCACCACCGTCTGTCTCACAATTAAGCACCTGGGGGGGGGGGGGGGGGGGTAGAACATGCTGACAAAAACACACCTTGTCAATCAATCTGTGCAACTCAAACAAGAAGCAGATGTCATGGAAATAAAGCCAGGCTAAGCTGTCAGTCGAATCGACACTGGTACATTTCTTGATGCCGTCTACACAGCCCCTGATGTGCAGGACGTACCATATATCTCCAGAAAAAGAGGGAGGCCGACCACAGGCCGGCCTCAGTTCAACAGAAACAACCCCGAGCCAGCCTCTCAAAACACGCTGTCTGAGTTGACCCATCACAATTAGTTGGGAAGCGCCACCATATTGTCCCCATTTTCAGACGACGGCGATCTTGTCAGTCCGACTCTAACAAAGGCAAGGGGGCCATTTTACGTGGCTTTCCTTCGTTGCCTTCCTCGTCACGTCCAGCCCATCGCCTATACCCGTAATAGGGTTTTGTAGTCGTTTTGTGGTACACCATAAGATCGTAGTCGGACAGTCGAGACTCCCATAGGGTTTCATCCGGCTACTACCTTTCGTTGTTCTCCGCCCTGGAATTAAGCAGAGTGGAGTGCGCATACCCTGCCCGAGTGTCGGCATGGCTTGTATGTACCATGAGCTGGTCCGACGTGAGTCGGTTGTAGAACGTCAGTACTTATCCTCCGACAGATTACAGTGATACCTAATTGTCTGCCCGTTGTTTGGCCATTGAATGGTCTATACCTGTATGGTATCTCGTGGGGACGTGTACTGTATCTAAGTAACTTGAAATCTTTGGTACAGTTGGTCTCTCCATACAACGTTGTACGCATGTCATACGTGATGCAGGAGATATGTGTGCGATATGTATGGTTATCAGCGAGTGTTGGGAGGGGTAGAAGAACCTGTGTCTATAAGGCAAGGAGTGGTGAAGAGACGGTCAGTTATGGGGTCATAGTTTGGATGTTCAGTGCAAGGATAACATTATATTACCCATGAATGTCCGGGTACTTCCGAGCCCTGTACTAGGTCTTTGTGAAGGAAATGGGAACAATGAAACCATCTATTCATTGATTCGCCATTCCCAATGATCCTTGAGAGACGTGATATCATGTATATTCACATATATGATTGTAGGTATGCCACTTCGTCCATGGTTTCATTCCAAGTTGATTACCAAAGATCGACATATGTGAAGGGACAGGCTACGGTCACTACTTTATACAGTTATCTACGCAACTGAGCGGTACGTATATTGACTTCTCTGATTGGCAAGATATTTTCGCTTATTCAACTTGTCGGCCCAGTTGTCTTTTTACATGAGCGTCAGCCATTTGATAATATTTGATTCAACATTATGCTACAAAGGCAACAGGGAGATAATTTGCTACCCGAGCGTGCCATCAACAGGAGTTACCCATGCAATTGAAAAACATGTCTAGCGTAGATACGGACAGTGTCTCACAATGCTAAGAACCAGTTTGAACCCCGTAAACCAGTCTTTCTCAATATGGATGTTATTGACTCGGTACTAGGCGAAGATTACGTGGCCGAAACTGCTGATAGTCGTTCGCTGGAACCTGTACTCCAAATAATGCGATAACCGCCCCAATTAATCCAAAGATGCGAGAATGGATAGAAATAAGCGAAAATAAGTCATAGAAGAACAAGAAAGCAAGGAGAGGCTAGAGATGCACTACATAATGGTCGTAACTCGTAGATCCCGCCACACATGGTATCCTCCTCCACTAGAGTAGTAGATTACGAGAGATAGATGCGGAGCTGCGTATAGTTAGCATAGGATTACTCAAAGCGGTGCAAAGACGTACCTTCTGCTTCACAGGAGTGCGGCAGAGTGGGCATAGCACCGCTGCCTTGGATCGGGACCGATCCGACCGCGAATGCTGCTCAGCACACCAGCGACAAAGAATCGCATGCCCACAAGGAATGAGAACAGTATCCACAAGCTGGCTCATACAGATTTTACACTCGAGGTTGACAGTCAGCTCCTCGTCATCCTTGGGTTCCGGGCGTCCATCCTTCTGATCGTCCAACCCCTTGGCATGCGACACTGCTTCCTCCTGTTGACGACGATGCCGGCGAAAGTAGCTTTCCTCGTATAGCTGCAAAGCATGGGTTTCATTGGATCGCGCGGAACGCAGTATCTCTCTCATTTGGAGTCTTCGAGCGAGTTCTACTTGTTCCTGCTGAGTGAGTGATGGGGCCAGCTGAGTCTCGCTTCCCGTATTGGGCAAAATATGCGATGTTCCAGTCATCGTAGTGTGACTCCTGTGGATATGTGGTGAAAGCCCATTTGACGTACTCGGCTCCCTTATAGACCGAGTTCGCAAATGTAAATTTTGAGAATTTGCCCTGCTATGTTGCTGTTGGACAGACGGGGCACTTGAAGCAATACTATGAGTGCGATGCTGCCGCCTATGATGAATCGATGTAGATGTGGGGGAGACTCCTGCTTGCGGAAACTGGCCATATGGGCGGGATCGAAATGATGCGTGCCGATTAAGCGAAGGAATTACAGAGACATCCTGGCTCGTCGTCCCTAGTGATGCCGACTGGATACTTGTAGTATGCGGAACCTGTGCCATGTTTTGATATGGGATAAACTGCTGCAAGACCTGAGCGGGGTAAGGGAAAACGTCTTGATAGTAAGTATTCGGAGGTACGAATGGAGAAGTGCTCTGTCCAGCCGCCGCAGAGGGTCCTTGTAAGCCCGCTTGAGAAAACTCAGACCCCTGGGGCCCATTATTCCGGTACTGACTCTGCCCAGTGCTGTCCAGGCTAACTGATCCACCAAATTGGCTCTGCATGTTGGGAAATGAGTCATTGCTGTGCGTATATTGCGGAGGAAACGTAGTAAATTGCTCAGGAACCTGAGAAAAAGAGAACCCATTATTCGTTATAGGTGCTCCAAACATATTTGGACCTGGGAGATCTGATCATCGATTAGCGGTAATGGGAGTTAAGCAAGAAACATTACTCACATAGACCGCTGTTTGCGTTAGGAAGACCATGCGGAGTATAAGGACTAGAATTGACCGTCTGCGCGCTCAGAAGACTGGGGTTTGTAGAGTTCTGCATATTCAGTGGTCCAGAAGAGCCCATACCCCCAGGATTGTTCATAACCAAAGGTGACAGGCTGGGATTGATCCTAGGGAGCTCAGGAACATTGCTTGAGTCCCAGGAATTCGATAAGACAGGTTGCGCCATGAGGAAAGACTCTGTCAGCAATTGCAGGTTATTGAGAATTGTTAAAGTCCCGTGGCGGATGGCCTGAAGCTCTTTACGGAGAGTTTCGATACTACCAGACTGAGATAGCCGACGACGTGGGGGTGCCGCTTGAAAGGGGGTTCGAGATGCGTCAGAGACGTTAGATCGGGACACGATGGAATATCCAGGGGAGACTTCGGATGAAGATGGAATATCGGCAAAGGAGAGTAGCGGCAGATGGGGATTACAAGCACCCCTGTATTCTAAATCACAAGACCCGGACCTGTGAGCGATGTAGACAGTGAAGGTTCAAAACAAAAATGCACTAAATAAACATAAAAAAACGTTTGATGAGTAAAGTTGCGTAGACAATCAATGAAACAGCAAAGCTGTACAGACATAGGGACTGTAAGGGTGGGAATACGGACCCTCACACCTCCAGCAGTATCTGGGACGGGTTGTTTCTGTACTATTTTGTAGAATATGCTCCTCTGCGGTCGATCGATTTCTTCCTGGTAGATCCGAATAATACAACACACATAAGCAACAGATCGAGCTCAGACGAAGACAGCCGATAGCATGCTTGTGAGTGCAACTGGTACTGGTAGGTGAAGGGGACCAAGCAAACATCGTTTATGGCCAGTCGGTCCCAAACTTATTGGTGGGTGGGCAAAGCAAAGTATTTGGTAGATACTCTGCTTATAACCATGTCGTAGTCACATCCAGCGATAACGAGCAGGCGACGGGTCAACCGATTTAAATATATGAGCACAAGGTGACGTCCGAATTCAAGGTCGCAACGGAAAAGCAGGGTGAATTAATGGTAGGCAGCCGTCCCCAAATTTTGGTTCTAGTAGTTATACGATAACTGCTGGCGACACAGAGACCTCGGAGACATGATTTTTGTTTGGTTCCACACTCTCCAGTGAGATAGCAACTCTGAGGACAGGAATAGCCACGAAAGCTGAACTTGAGCGGCAACGGTAAGCTACCAACAAACTATCCTGTCGTCCTAGGGAATTTTTTAAAAGGATATCGATTAGGCGCCCTCCTTTGACTTTTGTCTATCTTTTTTTATTTTCTCCCTCCTTGCTTTTCTTTCCTCAAAGTCTTTCAGATCAAGTTCGCTATGGGGAGCCAAACGGGATGCAACCGTGAGAGGAAGCTGACAGCCTGACGTTTGGACAACGTTGCCAGCTCTAGACCTTAGCCCAGGCGAGTCGGGGGGAACAGCATCAGCGCCTTGCACTAGACTGCGCCTAAGGGGCGAGAAAGTAAAAGAAACCGCCAGGAATGGGCAAGGATTGTTAGCCTCGGCGCCTAGAAGCCCACCGTGGAAGGCCTGCCCGGTTCTATCCAATTAGTGAGATCTTAAACCGAGTCTAGTGGCAGGGGATGTTGGTGTTGGGGTTGGAGAAGGGTGGAAAAAGAAAATAGAAAGGGTACAAAAGAAAATAAATCAATTAAAATTGAATTTAAATAGACAAAAAAAAAAAAAAAAAAAAGGCCTCAGAAAGCTGCGACTCTCCCGGGTTGGACCCCAAGAAAGCAAGCAGAAGCTCAGGCGGATATCAAGGTTACACTTTGCATGAATGATCCACTAAATATAATGAATCTGGATTATAGTATATACGGGCCCCGTCTGATGTTTCCGGATGATCGCAAAAGAATGGGAAATCAGAGAATCAAAAGAGGGGAACGGGAAGACGAGAAATACAACTCAGACAAAGACCCAAAGGACCGTCAGCGAACCGAGCGATCCACTGCTGCAGGGCCAGGGAGTTCAGCCGACCAGAGTTGCATGAGCAATGAGAATGAGGAAGTCATGATGATAAGAAAGGGTAGGACTAGACCCAGATTGGTACGAGTCCCGAGTCCACCGATCGGCGACTTCAAGAGTGGGGAACGGATTAGTTAAATTCAGATTGTTTGTCCTCCGTTGAATATAGTAACTGATGACAGAATGACTGGATACTAAATGAAACATAAACGATGGCCTGTCCCTGATCTTGCTGCTTTAACTTTGTTTCACGTGAATCCCTATTTTGGGGACCCGGGCACAAAGCGGCGCTGTTAGTTTGTTTGCTTTGGTTCAGAAGGCTTTGTCCACGACGTCATCAGATCTCCAGAGCTCTCGGGATCCACTTTTGACTTCTTAAATTATCTCCACTTCCACTTCATCCGGCGTGCTGGTAGTACTACCTTGTTGGTAAGTCACCTCCGAGGTGGATGCTGCCATCTCCTAGTCTCGTCTTCTTCTTCCCGAAATTCTAGATTTCTTTTCGAGCCCGATCCCGCGTCGACCTCGTTAAACGTTGCTTTTTGCAAGTGGATTTCATCCATGAGATTAGCCCGGTGGCTGTCCGTGCGGCCAACCCTTATATCGGTACCAACCAACATAACCAAAATTCCAATGTCCACTTTCACAATTCCGTGTGACCATGGTCAGCAATCCCTGTCTGTGGTTTGCACGCCTGATCTCAACAAGGATGATCTCTTGCGATTCCCTGCTTTCCAGGTCTGGCTGTCTACCCTGCGACAATCGTTAAAGCGGCAACAAGACCCCTCACACGCGTTCCACAAAGACCCTTATGTCCTACGCAAGATTGATATCCAGGCTGTCGATTTTTTTAAGGGAGGGCGATTAGGGTTTGTGAAATTCAAAGCTGATGTATCAAACGGAAATGGCGAGTCAACCCCGCATTCCTGCCGGTTCCCTTGCTTTCACTGAAATCCCCGCCGGAATGCTTGACGATTCCGGGTCTTTTGTTGGAGCTGCAGCCAAGGAAATACAAGAAGAAACTGGCCTGACGATTCCTCAGGATGAACTGATTGATATGACCTCGCTTGCATTGCAATCAGTTGCAAGCACCAAGGGCGTAGAGGCATTGCAGAAAGCTGTATATCCATCGGCTGGCGGAAGCGACGAGTTTATTCCTTTATTCTTGTGTCAAAAGCGAATGCCGCGTAAGGACATTGAAAGTCTACAGGGACGATTGACCGGTCTACGCGAGGATGGAGAGAAGATCACGCTAAAATTAGTTCCTTTGAAGGAATTGTGGAAAGAGGGATTACGGGACGGAAAGACACTCGCATCATGGGCGTTGTATAAAGGACTCAAGGAAGAGGGGAAAATCTAAATTAGACCTGGGTTTTCCCTTGACGACCGCATCACCGAATCGCCGTAGGTTTTTCAGGAGAGTGTCGAGTGGATATCAATATGCATCAAATTGACAGGTCTAACAACGCTAAACCTCATCTATAAGCGACAATTGAAAGTTCGTGCTATCGTCTGCTCAAATCTATAGCTTCCACTTCTGCGCAAGCTCGATACCCTCTGCTATTGTTCCCACACGGGCATCAATAGCATATCCTTCGGCCTCAAGCTTTTTCATCTCCTCGAAAAGAGAGGCCAGCGGCACTGTGAATGATTCGATGAATTCGTTTTCTTCGAGCTGTGGCTGCGGGTTCTGGTTCTCCGGCAAGGACATGTCTACTCGGACATGAACCATGTTGAGATTCGTGTTGCAGAAACCGGGATCTGGGACCATGTCTGTCAGCATTCTTCACCCAGATCTTCTGGAATGCAACTAGACACCCCACATGCAGTCAGATACGAAGTGACACCTTACCATTATACATCACCGTACTCGTTTGCTCCGCCACTCCCACATAGCCCGTTTCCTCCTTAAGCTCGCGCACGGCACATTCTTCCACCGTCTCTCCAGCATCTATGAGACCAGCCGGAACCTCAATAACCACCTTGTCGATAGGAGGACGATACTGTTTCTGGAGAAGGAGTTCTGGACCCGTCGATTTGTTGAGAATGGTCACGATCCCCACACCGTCGATTGCGCAGTTTGCTGGGCGGGTCTAGAAGTACAGAAGCATATCAGCTAGATATTCCGACTGGAGGCCCTGCATACCCAAGTCTTCGTATAGGCAAGGGGTTTGTATTTTTCACACATTGAGGCCGGCGCAAAGCACTGGAATGACCTTACCTGACGCTCCGCTGACTCCCACGTCCTTTCTACACCGGTAGGATCCCGGTATGTAGTCTTGACTAATCTCGTCCATCTAGCCTCTTTAGGATCCTGTAGAAATGACACCAACATCAGTATAAACTAACTAGCAATCACTAACCTCTAACCTGTTGTAGCAAGCTGGAACCCAAAGGAGGAAAAATGAATACATACCAAAGGACCCCTAGCAATAATCTCCGACCTCAAAGCCTTAGGATCAGACATCGTATCAAGCTCTAACGAAACACGAAACAATCTGTTCAATTAACTCAATCCTACCCACAATCTAAACGTCAACACTCTTAACACACCCAATACAATCCAACAAAACCCCACCTATAAGTCAAGTACAATGAAAGTACTATATACGAAATTCCCGGGGTGAAAGGGCACCAGTTAGTGTTAGTCAATGCTAGCTCGGCGACGTTGTCGTCGGAGGGGCCGCATACAGAGAGGGGTTAGATTGTCTGATCCGCCGAAGGGCTAGCCCTAATCTTAAGTGGGTCTGGGGAAAGGAAGTACGGAGTAATTCAGGATTTAGAGTTTCTCGGTGTATACTTATTCATGTAAAGAATACTTGTTTATTGCATCTGTTGCTTTGAAGTTGTTTGTGAGTTGGGTTGGGCTGCCTTTTCTTTGTTTGCTTGGAGAATTAGTTAGAACTGCTACACATGTTGGCTTATGAGACATCATGAAGAGGGAGAGGGGTAAGGAAAGAAACAAGTTGCAGCATGTACTGGGAAGAGAAAGAAAGATGTTTGCGCCTGGTATCTTTTGGTCTTCAGTGTTCTAGAGCAGAAAAGAGAGTATAGAACAAACGAAGAGCAAGGTCACAGAAAAGGATACAAGAAGACAAGAAATCAAGATGACAAAAAGCTCACCTTAGCCACCGGCGTTAGTAGGGAGGCTTGCGACACCAGAGAATTTTACTAGTAGGGGCCCTAGAGACGAGCAGAGACAGCTTTGACCCTGCACGAGCCTAGGACTACTACTAGTAGGGGGGCCCTCGGAACCAGCCAGGCTGGTGGCTTACCGCCTGACCATCGAGCCCCCCGGTGTGCCTAGGGGATAAGGCAGCTGCGCGGGGCCTCGTCGGTCAGGCAGCAGAGTAGCATGCCCAGGAACGGTGAGTCGGGAACTAAGGCTGCTTGTGGTAGTCTAGCTTGGACCAGTGACCTTGTGCGATATGGAGCATGTGAAAGATGTGGGCTATGATTGCCCCGGAATTCCTTGATTAGGTGCATTTAGCGCTAGTGTTGTGCTGATGGTGGGCTGCCGCTACTGTACCATTCCCGTCTACTAGGAAGATTACTGGGGCCTTGATAAAAAATTGTGGAGAACATTTTCTATTGTATGTCTAACAGTCTGCAGATGTCCTCACTATGTATCTCTGTCCATGGAACCTGTCTATGGATAAGGTTGAATAATGTCAGATACATGGATCCGACTACCTTGTGAAATAATTTAGATGAAGAAAGGAAATGGCCGAGCCGTTGAAAAGAAGAGACCGCGTAGACGGCTAAGCTGGCCGAGTGAATTGAAGATAATATTCGAAATGAGAAATTAAGTGGAATCGAAGATAGTGGCCTATGCTTAATGGCGACCAAATGCGCTTGCTGTCATTACTTCGTGTCGACATTCGGGAGAGGCGGTGACTGATGCGATGACTAGACTGCTCAAGCCGATTCGACTTGAGAGAGACAATCCTCGAACTCTGACCAGTCCTTCATGATGACTTTGGCACCAAGTTCCTTGAGGAATTTCGCCATTTCGACCTTCTTCTCATCGCCGGGGTAGCTGCCAACGTAACCGATGACGTGAATGCCGGCACGGATAGCACTAAGAGCGCCAGACTTGCTGTCCTCGACAGCAACAGTCTCTTCCGGCTTCTTATTGCACTTTTCAAGGGCGTGGAGGTAGATGGCTGGGTCGGGCTTGGAGGTGGGCTTGGGGAGAGAGGTCGCAGCACTGAAGACCATATCCTCGTCAAAGAACTTGTCCTGCCCCACTTTCTTGATGGAGGCCTGGACACGGCGCAAGGCAGATGAGGAGACAACTGCCAAGTGGTACTTCTTGGCCTCGTACAACTTCTCAAGTTCCTCGTTGGCACCAACGCAAGGTTGGGCTTTCGCTTCCAGCTTAGCAATGACTTTGTCCTCCTCCTTCTTAACGAATGCTTCGAGTTCGTCTTGAGGGATCTCGAAGTCGTACTTGGCTTGGAGGGAGATCAGCATTCCACGGAAGTTCTGACCGACGAAGTCTTGGATCAGCTGCTCCCCTGTGTAGCGATCAGAGATATTGCGGCTTTCCAGAATCTCATTTGTAAGGTCGGCGCATGCCTCAAAGGCCAGCTCCTCAGAGAGGACTAGGGTGTTGTCGCAATCAAAGAAGATTTCGGTAATCTGTGTAGTAGCAAGGTTAGTTGGCTATGGCTCAGTGGTAACAGGCATCAGAGAAGCTTATGGCTAACCTTAGGCATGATGACTGTAGTGGATTGGATTCTATGTTAGGGTAGATGTAATGACAGGTTTGAAGAGAGTTATTAGGAGTTCAAAAGTGGTGGGAGTAGAGAGAATGACAAAGAGATTGGGGGGTGATGACCAGAGAAAGGGCTGTTGGGTGAATGGTACAAAGAAACTTGGGGTTGGAGGGACAGTTGTACGCTTTAAGTAGAATCGTGAAAGAGGAAAATGGCCAAGGGGTCTCCAATCATATCAGGGTACCAAGACCGCGACGCTACACATGGGAGCCCACCGGTGATCCAAAGGGGGGCATATGCATACAATGGCAGAACAACCCCTCCAAGGAAGGCGGCATGGCGGGGGCCTGAGGTCATATCGTGACGTTCGCGACTGGGCATGGGCCTATAATGGCGGCCGAGATACGGCGGCCATCGGGTCTACATGCAGCACACTAAACTGAAGTTAGCAAGCACCCGCTGCCATTCCCTCTTCGGTAACGCTGTCGGCCCCCTCTCACTAGCCCATTCAAGTATAGCGCTTTACCCTCAGGGCTGATGGAAATGCAAAGAAACCGGATTGCACAGTTGCGAATCGGCTGGAAGACTCATGATGTTTCAGTTTGTTCATTTTTCTTCACCTTTCTGTGGCAACCATCCAATGGGATCGGGACTTTCAGTACACTGATACAGGGCGACAGTGGAAAGGCCACGGTTGTGCGTGGCCTTTTGATCTTAGAAGCGTGGCCTTTCCACGCTGCGCATCACTGCCTTACTCAGTCGGATTTGACTATATCTAGATTGTCTTCCTTTATGTTTAGTTCGATGTAGGGATTACTATTCTGATATACTGTTGAGAGTCGGTATATAGGGGTCGCTAACTAAAAGGGTGCACAGTGGATTCCTCATTCGGAGAAAAAGGAGGTGGACTGTTAGACTGCTGCTAACATATGGCTGAGCTGCTTTAATAGAAGAAGAATAAGGCTATGATGGCAATCATTAGATATGCTCAGTACGAAATGCTGAGTACATTAAAAGAAATAGACAGCAGAATGCATGATCGGTTCACCAGGAAGTACCAAGGCTCGCTTAAACAAAACGCGTAATTGTCTGAAAGCCTTCGTAGCTGATAAATATATCGCCTTCAGCTCCCGTAGGCTGCCGATCAAACATGGCTCTGAAAGGGATCACAAGAGGTCCTCCTGTAATTGTTCGTTCGCCTGCTGCTGGGCAAAGGGGGGTCATCTGGCTGGGTTGCTGGCGTAGCTGATCAATTGCTTGCCATGTAACAGGTCTTGAAACGTTAGGAGGAACAAGCTGCCATTTCTCGAACCTAATTTCCTTGGTGGCTTGTTTTATTGAGATGAGAATGACGATTCTGGTGTCCTCAGAGGAATTTTGAAACCACCAAGTGGCATCTCGACGAAGCTTTGCCAAAGACTCTGGAATGCCTCTACCATGGGTAGTAACATTGCCAGGTGTCATAACTGTAAGTCCCCAAGCAAGCTCATTGTCTGGCACTCCCATTCGAATGCACTACCAGTGGATGTAGTGGACCATGTCAGATGTGGTCAGACTATACGCAATAGAAGGGGTTACTTGGATAGGTCCTGTTGTCCCAATCCACATAAATCGAAACTCGATGCCCGACAAGCAGCGGTGGATATTGCTCAGCCTGTCAATGGCGGCTCGTGATATACCCCTGATAACCAACCATTGGCTTCCTATTCTTCTCCAACTGGTCATATATGGCTTTCGCCGCGTCCTTCAATTGCTTTAGGTTGGAGTATGACAAGAATGACCGGAGTCGGTAACCCTGTAGCAAGTCAGCTTCAATGTTGTACTTATCACTGATCACAGTGGGGGACGGCTCGCTCAAGGCGACACGTGGTAGGCTCTGATGAAGCATCAGTAATGTAGGCAGTCACTGTTGCGGAATCAAGTGCAAGCCAGGAGATGAGTGAAGACGAATTAGGAAAGGGTGCTGTGAAATGAATCGAGGAGCAAAAAAGTAGCCGGTAAACTTCACCCGACTACTATATCTCCATATAAGTCTACATGGATGGTGGTGAATTACAAGCTATGTAGTGTCTACCTATCAAGCAGTAAGGTTGCATTAATAACTACTATTCATTTCTTAAGGATACCCACTTGACTAAACCCTAGATTTTTAGATAAGGATAATTTTGGTATTAATCATGCATCTGAGAATTTTGCAGGGAAGTTCTGGCAGCAATACTAGGGTTAATATATGCACGGGATTTGGAACAAGTTAATAGATCTATCGTAAAATTCTCAGGCACTAGAGATATCTATATTGTATCGAAGATAAGTTTGTGGGAGAGCATGCAGACTTTATTCCATTACCAATTGATAATGCCTGTACTAGCAGTAGGTTGTCAAAGCGATTCTGCATCCTGATCAGGGATACTCATGCGAGGTGTATGGCCTAGTCCAAACGTCTGGAGGCCAGTGTTATACCCATGTTTAGTAGTGATTTAGTCATGCCCAGGTGAGACAAGCCACTAACTAATCAGCTGATTATTTCTATGTCAACATTATTTGAAATCATCCCGACTCGTACTCTACCGAGACTGTACCAGGAGTTATACAAAGAGTCAATGACATGTAACCTACTGAGTCAGGCACTGAAATCAGATATTTATCAAAATACAAACCCGACTACTGTCAAATACTCCATTCTCCACTCAGGGATCGATCTTTTGAACGCCACCGCCCAATAACATTGGCCTCGATGGGGCCTGAGGCCGAGTGATCATTGGCTAATCTACCAGTACCGTTACTACTATGGGCCCCTCTTTTTTTCACATATGATCCTTCTGCGTAACTTGACGGGAGGGACATAGTCTAGCGATAGTAAACTATTTCCTATTTTAAGCAATCTACTTGTTATTATTTACGCCCAAGACCTTCCCCTCCCGTGACCAAAATGGGTGGTGATTCTGATCCCTTTCCGGTATCCGTATCGTCTCTTCATTTCCCCTCCAAAGAGCAAACTATTTCCCAAACTCTGACGTCCTTGCGGCGGTCAGCCCTCTCCATCACAAACCGACTTCAATCGATTGAAACAGACGCTACCTTTGTCCGTGAAGCCGCTGACTACTACGATCTCCCTTTGGTCGCCAACGAGAGATGTGGTAGTTGGTATATCCCACCGGAGGTCAAAGCTGGCAGTGCTTACTTCAAGAGCACGGATGGTCATACAGGCCAATGGGACTTTAGCTTCCGTAGACTAAACCTGCAGATTCTACCCATTGCTCGGAAGCATGGAGGGTAAGTGAGCGTATCACGGTTCCTTCAGAATCTCCCTTCGGTCCGCTTTTCCTTGGACTACCGCTGACCACCAATGATGGCTGCAGCTGCATCATTGTGGACTCAACACGCCGGGGAAAATGTAAGTGCTGACGACCACTTTGTTAATATTCGGTTGCTCGTGTCTCACAAGCCGCCAGTGATGCCTGATGCCTTATCCAAGACGGTTCCGATCTGGTGTGCGGTAATCAATCGAGCACTATTTCCGTCCGACACTGCATACCATCCCGTGCAATTCCCGCCGAACTTTTTGGGCGCCTCCGAAGAGTCGCAGATTGAGCACAGAATCGACGGTTTTGTTAAATCGCTCAAGGTAACCTTTCCGAAAGAGGGTGACTGTGCCCTACTTGAAAATAGGCTGATTGGCTTCTAGGATCTCAAGCTCGATTTAGATGATCTCAAGCAAAAATTAGGAAAGCCGATTCGGGTCGCCTGGGCAAATCGCTCATATTTTCATCCAACTGATTTGCAAAAGGGAGATGCTTATAATCTCTTTGTTCTCTGCTCCGCTTCCAAGCGTGTCCATGGCGCGGAAATGTCAGAGGGTGGTTACATTCAAGGAGCAGGAGACGATAGTGAGGGTTGGGCTCACGGGCTAACGCCACCAGTTTTCTGGGCACACAAGTCCACTCTTGCTGCCACCGGAGAGGAAGATCTGCCGGAACTTATTGAGAGATTGGTAGCAGAGCACCGAAAGCAAGATGGTGGACAACAAGCTACTTTGATAACGCCAACCCGAAACTTGTACATCAGCCCAACAGACCCTCGATTAAACGAGGGTGGTACTTGCGATCTGGTCATTGATTGCAACGGGAACCCGGAGGCCTCAGAGGGCAGTTCAAAGCGACTAAACCTTGGTTGTGGAGTTTCTAAACTGGGGAGTCGCGATCTACGGAAGCATCTACCTCAGGTGCTGGCATTTGTCAGTTCTCAGCTGGAGTCGAACCCGTCGCAATCATTGCTCGTAACATGCGAGACTGGGAAAGATCTTTCCGCAGGCGCTTTGCTCGCCATATTGTGCCTATGTTATGACGATGAGGGCAAGTATTCATACTTCTGGCCTCAACTGACCATGCTAATCATGCAACAGGGAACTTTGCTGGATCTCATGCAAAAAACAAGATCGACAAGCAATTCATCCGACAGCGACTTGCCTGGATCGTATCCTCCAAACATGACGTGAACCCTTCGCGCGCTACACTCCAATCTGTCAACGCGTTTCTTATGGAACGACCAGATTATTAACAAGTAGATTCTTTGGCGTTTCGCCTGTAGCTCAGGTGTATATTCATTCATCATACATCATAGCGTGGATCTATTCGTTTTCAACGGCCTCCACAATAGCTCCAGCACTTCCCTGGTCCAGGGCATTCAACACAGCCATATCCTCCTCACTTATTTCAAAGTCAAATACATTGGCGTTGGCCACAATCCTATCAGGGTTGTCGGACTTGGGCAGCGGTACCCATGCCTTCTGCAGAGCGTAGCGTACCAAGACCTGCTGGGTTGTCTTTCCATATTTCTTCGCCAGGTCGACAAGCGTAGGATCGCTAGCTTTATAGTTGCGCACAATCGGAGAGTAAGCCTCAACAACTATGCCATGCTTCTTACAATACGCATCGACAACCCGCTGTTGACACCAAGGGTGGAGCTAGTTGGCGGATAGTCAGTACAATCCACACTCGTCTATTGAATCACAGCCCGGACAGACAAGCTCACCTCAATTTGGTTTACATGCGGCGGCCAAACCTTCGCATACGACTTCATCTCCTCAATGTGCTTCACACCCCAGTTGCTAACACCAATGCTCTTTGTCTTGCCTTCCTCCAAGAGTCGTTCCAGGGCCTGCCACATCTCCTTCCGACCCAACGCGCCCGAGTTGGCGCTATGAATCAGAAACAAATCTACATATCCATCCGGACCCCCAATCTTCTCCACGCTGGCCAGCAGCTTACTATAGGTCGCATCAGGTGAGCCACCGGGGACAAGGATCTTAGTAGTCACGAAGATGTCGCTGCGCGGGATACCGGAGGCGCGAATCGCATCGCCGACCTCCTTCTCATTCGCGTAGAACTGGGCTGTATCAACATGGCGATAACCTGCCTCCAAAGCCTTCGAAGTAGACAGCACACACTGAGTCGGGGGCGAGCGATAAACACCGAACCCAAGGCGGGGAATTCGAACCGCCGAGTTAGGGAGGGGTACCAAATCGGTGATGGTCAGTTTGGCAGCCATGATAAAAATCACGTAAGGGTCACTTTCTGCCCGCAAACAAAAAAAAAAAAAAAAAAAAAAAAAAAAAAAAAAAAAAC